CTCAATCAGAAGTTCTAGTTATGTGCCTGAACCTGGTTTGTTTGAATCTGCTTTGTTTATACCACTTTGACTTTTATTAGTCAGTCGGCTTGTAAGCCAGAAGAGTGAACAACTCCAAGCTTAACTAAATGCCTGTATTTGATCTAAATATCTTTCCAAAATCTGATTACTAGAAAGAAATATGTAATTTACCTTCCCAGCTTACAAACATGGCACCTTCTCCAGGTTTTCAACTATCTTAGTTGTCCTGCAAAAGGGACTCTGCACAGCCAACTGAAAACAAAACACTAATTCACGTGAATTAATTCCTTTAATTCTGGTTTTAAATAAATTGCAATTTGCAACTTCTCTCCTTTCCTGGATACATGCATGGATGATTTGTGTTTTAAACCATTTCTCCTGATTTTGAAAAGTTTGTTTCTACCCAATAGAATGTGCTGTGCATCATTTTAAATTTGACTTTACAAACGGGGTTTGGCAAAACATATCATTATCTATTATTAAAAAGAAGAGGAAAGTAATAATATAAATTAAAATCTAACGATGTTATGGAAAGAGGAGAACAGTAAAAACAATTCAATTTCCCTCTCCTCTTTTCTGTGACATATGGCTCCAACCTGTGTTAGCCTTTTCTCCTGATTTCCATTGACTCCAGTTTTACTAGAGCTCCTTGATGCCTTAAAATGCTGCCTTGATGTCAAGGGCAGTCACTCGCAACTCTCCTTTTGAGTTCTCTTTTGTCCTTGTTTGGACCAAGGCTGTGATGAGGTAAGGAATTGAGTGGTCCTGGAGAAACCTAAATGAGCATCGATGAGCAAGTTATTGCTAAGTGTTGCATGATAGCACTGTTGACAATGTATTCCATCACTTTTCTGTTGTTCTGAGCCGGTTGATGATTCAATAACTGGCACATTAGTTTTGCAGCACTTTTTGTGGACATAACATATGTTATGCTTGTGTTGAAGCTGTTCTGGCACATCTTGGCTAAGGGCAAGGCTTATTCTGGAGCACAAGTCTCCTCAAATACGTTGACACAGTGTCAACAGGGCCTATAGCCTTTGTAGCATAAAGAGCCTTCAGCTATTCCTTGATATGCACACAGAGTGAAATAAATTGGCTGAAGACTAGCATCTGTGATTCTGTGAACCTCATGAGGAAGACAAGATAAATCATACACGTGACAATTCTGGTTGAGACCCCTCTTTCATTTAGTAAGTAAATTGTCCACCACCAGTTACTGGACATAATATGACTGCATATCTTAGTTCTGACCTATTGGTTGAGGGATAGATTAGCTCTGTTTATTGCATGCTGCTTCCACTGTTTGGCATGCAAGTAGTCCAATGTTATAGCTTCACCACGTTGACCCCTTTCTTTTGGTATATCTGGTCCTGCTTGAGACATGCCCTCCGCAGACTGTATTGGACCAGCTTTGATCCCCTGTCTTAATCATAACAGTAGAGTGGGGAATATGCCAGGCCATGAGGTTACCATGAGGATGTGATCAAGTACAATTTTTCTGCTGATAGCAGCCCACAGAGTCATTTGGATATCTAGGTTTGACTTGCTAGACCGGTATAGATTGTATAGACTGTTTGGCAAACAAGGTGGAGGGTATCCTCAATATTACGATGGATTTTTGTGTTCTCAAGGACTGTAGTGGCTGCTTCAACCAATATAGAATCAAAGAATTGTTACAGTGCAGAAAAAGTCCATTCAGCCCATCGTGCCTGCAATGGCAAATGCACCTGCAGCAGGTAGATTGGTGAAAATGAGTTCAAGTGGGCTTTTCCTCCTTTTGGATACCTCACCACCTACTGCAGACCAATATTAACAGATATATGCTTTAGAAATCAGCCAGCTCAGCAAGTAATTGTGGTACCGAGGCAAACTTGATGTTAGACATTTATGTCTCCCACTCAAGAGTACATCCTTCACCCTTGCCACCTTCAGTGCTTCTTCCAGTTTTTGTTCAACATGGAGGATTACCAATACATCAGCTGATGGGAGGGGTGGTGGGTTGTTGATGGTTATCACTGGGAGATGTCCTTGCCCATTACTGACTTGATACCATGAAATTCCATGGGATCCAGGGTCAATGTTGAGGACTCCCAAGACAACACACTCCAGCAGTGTCCAACTGGCTCTGAGGGGCTGTACAGGGATCAGTTCTGGGTCCACCACTTTACAATATCTATTAATAACTTATAATGAAGGAAGTGAATGTACTGTAGCTAAATTTGCAGATGACCAAAAATAGGTGGAAAGGCAGACTGCAAGAAGGATACAAACAGTTTGCAGAGAGATATTGATAAGTAGGGCAAAAATGTGGCAAATGGAGTATGATGGAAAATGTGAAGTTGTTCATTTTGGAAAGGAGAACAAAAGAACAGTATTAGTTAAATGGAGAAAAACTGCAGAAAGCTGCAATACAAAGATCCATTGGAGGATTTTTGCATAAAACACAACACTGGCACATGGATGCAGAAGGTAGTCAGGAAGACAAATGGAATGTTGGCCTTATTTTAATGGAGTTAGAGTATAAGAGTCGGGAAGCCTTACTGCAACTGTACAAGGTGTTGCTGAGACAAATTTGGAGTACTGTGGTTAGTTTTGGTCCCTTATTTAAGGTACTATTTCAAAGAAGGCAGTTCAGAGAAGGTTCACTATGATGATCCCTGGTATGGACGGACTACCTTATAAGCAAAGATTGAACAGGTTGGGACTCAAGTCACTGGAGTTTAGAAGAATGAAAGTTGATCTCATTCAAATATATCGAATTCTTGAGCGGCCTGACAACGTAAATGCTGAGAAGAATGTTTCCTTTATGGGAAGGTTTAAGACCAGAGGGTATCAGAATTAAGGGGTGTCAATTTGAGACTGAGATGAGGAGGAACTTCTTATCCCAGGGGGTCATGATTTTGCAACTCCTTGCCATGGAGAATTGTAGGGGCAAAGTATATGTATATACTTAAGGCTGAAATAAATAGATTCTTGATCAGTAGGGGAATGGAGGGTAGGGGAAAGGACAGGAAAGAGGAAGTGAGGAGTGTCGGTGCAGTCTCCTAGGCTTGAGAGGCTGAATGGCCTACTTCTGTTCCTATTTCTTATGGTCTTACTACATATCAATTCTTATCTTACCATCCATCACAAATTAAAAACCCATTTGCCATGCTGAAGGCAAAAATGGGCAAGATGGGAAATGGTAGAAATAGACAACATTTTCATGGCTCAAAACAAAAACAGAAACATAACATTCTAGTAATGTACTACACAATCATATGCATACCCTTGTACAATTACAAATCTTTCCTTTCCAGTGCATCAAGATGGTTCTTACCCTCTATGGCTTCAACAGAAGTAGAGCGAGAATGTTTCAGTTTTTGTTTTGAATGCTAAGGTGCATATGGTTAAAATTCTCTGAATGCTGGGGCCCCTCAGAGTGCTGCCAAAGATTACCCCATTTAACAGTGAGGCAACGGACTCAGCTATCAGGAAACAAATCTGCAAGTGTGGTATTAACTAAAGTGAAGGCAGCAGCAATGGGTAAGAAGAAAAAGTGCCTTGAGCCAACCTGGCTGTTCCAAGTCCCATTTCATCATTATCCCTTTCATGATCCACTACTACTATGCTAGCAATGAGCTGGAGAGAACTTTGCTGCAGATCAGTGTGGCCAACATTAGGGTAATATGAATTCCAAGTAAAGTGGCATTCAATATGTTCACTGGTGGCCATCATTTCCATAGACAAAGATATCACCCCAAAAGCCTGGTCCATCAATGATATTCATGCTGATATTCATATTAAGGTTGTACGGGACATTGGTGAGGCCTCTTCTGGAGCACTGTGTGCAGTTCGAGTCGCTTTGCTATTGCAAGGATATTATTAAATTGGAGAGGGTTCGGAAAAGATTTACCAGGATATTGCCGGGAATGGAGGGTTTGAGTTACAGAGAGATGCTGAACAGGCTAGGACTTTTATCACGGGTCCATGAGGGTCATGAGGGGCAACTTTTTCATGCTGGAGTTTGCACATTCTTCCCATGTCAGCCTGGGTTTCCTCCCAGTCAAAAGATGTGCAGGTTAGGTGGATTGGCCATGCTAAATTACCAATAGTGTCCAGGAATGTGCAGGCTAGGAGGATTAGCCATGGGAAATGCAGGCTTATAGGGAAAGGGTAGGGGGTTGAGTCTGAGTGGGATGCTCTTCGGAGAGTTGCATGGACCTCTTGGGCCAAATGGCCTGTTTCAGCACCTTAGGGATTCTATGATTCTACACAGAGAGGGGTTCGTGTGTGGAATGAACTACCAGAGGAAGTGGTATTGGCAGGTACAGTTACAACATTTAAAAGAAATTTGGACAGGTACATCAATAGGAAAAATTTGGAGGGATATCAGCCAAGCGGGACTACTTTAGTTTGGGAACATGGTCGGTGCGGACTAGTTGGACTGAAGGGTCTGATTCCATGCTATATGACTATATATTGCAATTAACCTGCACAACTTTGAACTGTGGGAGTAGCTCACAGAGCAGCCAGGGGAAACCTGTGCAGACACGGGGAGAATGTGTAAACTCCGCACAGACTGAGGCTGGAACTGAACCAGTATCCCTGGCACTGTGAGACAGCAATGGTAATTACGGAGCCACTGTCCCACCACATGTGTCAGCATTTCCACTTAAGCTAACCGTTCAGCAAACCAGGTAATGCTATGATATTATAATGGTTGGGTTTAAAAACTATACTGGCATGCTGCAGTTACTTTTATATTTCTCTCACACTGCTGAGCACCACCCTCACACTTACTCCAATCCCAGCATGTCAGAAACTTAGAATCCAGCAGGCAGTAGCTAGAAATTCCAAAAGTAAGACATTCCTCCTCCAAACATTTTAAACACTAATATCCTTCTTTAATATTTGCTCTTAGTGTAGATTACCAAAAAGATATTAATATTAAACATTTATCAACTAACCAAGAAACTGAATGGAGATATAAAAAATACCTTTTTGATGCAAACAAAGTGTCTTTATTTTTTGCATTTCCAGTATTCATTGGGAGTGCTTTCCAGACAGCAGTTTTGGCCATTTCATCAGAAATGTTGATAACAGAAGGATCGTCCCTAAAGAAGATTGAAAAATTATTCTTGTGATAGTCACCATTCTTTCTAAATGATTGCTAAATGTTTGGTGCTAACATTTCATCAGAGTTACAACATAATTTGAATGAAATACTATGTAGTTAATGTAAAAGATGCAATGTACATGTACTGAATCTTCACACAAACTGAAAAAAAATTAGAAAATGCATTAGCTACCAACATGGACATGGAGGTAATTGTTCCTCTCTTTTTGTCAAGAGAATGCACAATCCTTTGATACAAAGCAGAAGTCATAGGGTCAGAACTCCCTATTGTCCATTATATGTCTGCTGGGTTTCAGGCTTTCACCGAGGCATAAACAGGACTAGGGACCACCTATAGCAAGTGGAGGACAAGGACAGGTGGAGACTTGAGCTGGGTGACTCTAGACTTTCAACCCCAGTTTCATTTATCACTGATTCAACAAAAGCTACTTTGAAGGCATTCAAAGAAGCTGATATTCAGCCTTTTGCTTGGGCATTTTCAGATCAGGGTTGGTCTCAGGGAGTGAGTCAGAAGATAGAACTGTAAACTACCAACAACATTCAGGCCTCAAAGCTTCGTCAATGCTATTATTTAACAAAGTCAGAAGTCACACGATGCCAGTTTACAGTCCAACAGGTTTATTTGAAATCAAAAGCTTTTGGAGCACTGGTCCTTTGTCAGGTGAAGTGGAGGGAAGCGCACAGGCACAGAATTTATACACAGAGAGATAATGGTAAAACAATCCCAGGTAATTAAGGGTGTCAAGAGATAAATACAAATAGTGTGAATGAAGTGCTGACAGGCTGAATAACAGGCCTTTGCAGGTGATCAAAAGTATCAAACAGTGTGAGTAAAGTATCAACAGCTGAACAGCAAGTGAAGGAATGACCTATGATCGGATTAATAATTACAAAAAATAAAAAATAGGATGGTGCTAGAGACAAACCAAATGGCTGGAATAACATAATAGGTACAAGAGTCACATGACAAGGGTCTAATCAAAGTGACAAGTAATCAAATAAGTATTTCAAAGAAATGCTTTATCTGTGCTTTCTGCAAAATCCTACCTGTAATCTCCATCCAAAGGTAACTGAATTGTTCCTTCTTCTTCTATTGTCAACATTATTTGCTCTTCCTTAGGAATTAACAAAAACCCAACTGTTAATAGTCATTTGCTTGAACAAATAAATGGTATGGCAGAATCTTTGGCTCCAATTTCCCCCTCCCCATTTCCATACAATTTGATCATTGTGCTTCTCATCGGCACTTTTACTGAACCTGAACCATCTTTCTGGGTTAAGCTTATTGAAATATAAGTGAATATCAAGTGGAACCATTATTTGTTACTGAAACTTGCTCCCAATTGGGGCCTTTGTGCCAGGCAGCAGTACAATCTTGTATGCAATTCACACCGACTGGCTTTGTTTCATTTCAGAGCAACTGTGCTGCATTCAAAAATAAGAAAATAATGAAAGGGAATTTTACTGCCCACAGATGATTTATTTGCAAGTCCGGACTATCTAAAATAGAACAGTTAGCTTCCCGCCACCTCCTGATCTGTCTTATAATACAGACAGCAGGTAAGTCATCAATTAGCCGAGCTACCTGCTAGATACTGAGGCTCTTAACTGACCAATTAATGGTCAATTAAGGATCTATTTCAACACTCACCATAATAACCCTACCAGCCCCCACTGCATTGAAGGAAGCCAGCCTGTTCCTTCAACATCTCAGGCTGGAGCTGGAAAAGAAAGGTGGTTACTTCCTTCAGTAGAGTCCTGTGCCCATCAGAAGCAGACAAGCAAGACATTACACCCAACTCCCACCACACAACAACAAAGGGATATCAGCATGCTACTGATAATGTACCAATTTAGTAAAAAATGCAAGGGATGTTAGGGAATGTTCCAAATGATTAACGTATGTATTCAAGATCCTTAAGAACAGCATACAATGTGCATCCACAGAAGAACAACCTTTACTTGGATACACTTAAAGGTAGTTTTCATGTGAGTGCACACACACACACACCTCCACGACTGTCTGGGCAAGGCCAACGGGGAAATGTGTGGCCAACAAGGGGTTTTATTCAGGGAATGGTGTCATTATGTCTCAGCCACCAGGCTATGACGTTAATGTGGAAGTGTAGTTTGCAGGGGGCATTTTGCACCATTGCCAACTGAGAAGTTTGTGGTCAGTCTGTCTACCCGAAACCTGGCTGCCCCACCATGAGATTATGACAGAAAAGCAATAATTCAGTCAGAGTGAGAGCTTTGCCCCCATCTGGGAGGTGGTCTGTTCTAGAGAGTTGCTGGCCAGTCTGATTATAATCAGTGACCAGACAAGAAGTGTCATGTATTTTGGATGCCAGTTAAATTTATGGATTTTGGACAGCCCCGCCCAGCAAAGCCCCCATTGAGCACAGAAGGTGGAAGCAGGAATTCCTTCAAAGGAGGTATTCATAATTCTTCCCTATTGAGTGGGAACTAACTGGTCATTTAAAAGCAAAAATGGGGCAAGGGCAGCTTAATGCCTGGCCCACTCAATGTAGACATGATACGGATGGTGTAGAAGGCAGCAGGCATTCTGCCAACTTTATAAGCTCTGTCACCTTAACATGTGGCAGTGAGGGCCTTAAAATACGTTATAAGCTAATGGATGGCAAGGCACCTGTGCACAAACAAATGGAGATTCTAGATGGAGATGAATAGAGGGGCAGTGTCAGTTGATCAACTGGCAAAGTCTGCAGTGGAGGACAGAGGAAGAGGAATGAGTTGGATGGGTAGGATCTATAAGCAGGGGTACTAGGAGGAAAGCAAACTTTGGATAGTAACAAGAGAGGAGGCAGACCAGCAGGTAGCTGAAAGATTGAGGTAGGGAAATGGGAGGGCAGATTACCTCAGAAGAGGGCAGTGAAAGATAGTGTGGTAATTGAAGAGAGGGTCGAAAAGGACTAAAAAGGAAAGTGAACAAAGACCTAAAAGGCAAAAAAATGGTGAGACAGATACATTAAGACATGGCCACCCTTCTGAACTAAGTCATTCAAATGGTACCAGATTCACTCATTTGAAAATGAGACAGGATGTAAACTTGGTGTATTTTTAACAGGTGGGACATTGTTAATCTTTCCTCTTTTGACTATCCAAATGAGACCTCAAAAATAGTCAGTGTAGACAAGGAAAGCCCTCCCTCAAGTGTCTTACTTCTTTTTCTTCATCTTCTAATTTTTTCTTTTTACTCTCAGGCATCACATCATCTAGCCAGCTCAGCTCTCGCTTGGTGAAGATGAAATCCATCAGTTTTCGGATAAACACGAGTGCTAAAACCTGTAATATATGCAAATTTCAGTAGTCACTAATAAAAAAGAAAGCTAAAGATGTTATTAACATGGAAAAGCATAACTGTGAAACTTAGAAATAACCTCAAAAAATGCTGGAGAAATTCAGAATTCCTAGTATCATCTGTGGAGAGAAAATCAGAGTTAATGTCTTGAATCCAATATGACACTTGCTGAGTTTTTCCAGCAATTTTTCCTTTTATTTCAGGTTTCCAGTACCTGCAGTATTCTGCTTCTGTTACAGAAGTAACCTGTATCATTCCAAATGTGCAACAACTCTTCCATGCATTTGTACTTTTAAATAAGTTCCCATTTTCATTATAAATTCAAAAATGCATGTAAAAATTTAATTTGTGAGCATATTTAGTAAATGTTTATTTATTTTTAAAGGTTTGATTAACTAAATCAATATAACAATTCTTTACCTTAAATTTAATGCATTGTCACCAAAATAATTTTCAAGTAGAATTATTAACTTCATTAGGTTCATACCATCATAGGAAAGACAATGGCGGCCCGAGAAGCTTTTATTATCCAAAGAATAATCAAACAAGAAGCCTGAATCACAGTGAAGAGGTGAACTTTCCTAAGAGGCACATGTCGTAGGTAGATGAAGTCTGGTTGGTGTTTTGTGGGCATTCCAAAGAGTTTCAAACGATCAAATAACTAAAAAAGATAAAAACCATCCAGAATAATTTGTAGTTAGAAGTTGATCCAAGCTTTATACTAACATTCAAGGGTTGCAAGTTCTGGATTTTGTCTCTGTGACATAAATATTGCAAAAAATGTATTTTAATTGATCCAGGAGTATTCTCATGAATGTACAATTTTTAAAGGGCAACAAATGAATAATGCAAATGGAATAAAAATGGTGTAACTCAGCTACAATTTTACATTTGCATGCACAAAGATTTGCATTACTGTTAATCAAATATGTAATGCCAGCAAGTTTAGGATTAGGCAGAATAAAGCTCTCGCAGAGAAATATAGATGTATTCATTGGTCTTGATACAAGATAAAAATTAGTCATGAGGATCTTTGAGATCGTTATACTTTTAATACAATGACACAAATAGCTAGCTTCAATTGTTTATCCATTGCAGTGGCTTTCATAAGGGAAGAGCTATATAAGGAATCATTTTAGATCCCTTAATTAGACAGTATTTCAAGACTTCTGTTGGGATAGTCAGGCATTTTCCTTTCTACCACAATTATCTTTACCACCATGATCCTCACACTGCCCCCTCTCATAATTTGAGATCTACACTCTTGTCAGTGAACAGCAAAAGGTTTCATTAAAGATAACTATAGACAAAGGATGCTAGGAGAAATTCTGAGCAGGTCGGGCAGCATCTGTGAAGGAAAAAACAGAGTTAACGTTTCGGGTCCCGTGACCTTCTGAGGAAGGATCACTGGACCCAAAATGTTAACTCTGTTTTTTCCTTCACAGATGCTGCCAGACCTACTGAGCTTTTCCAGAAACTTTGTTTTTGTTCCTGATTTACAGCATCCGCAGTTCTTTCGGTTTTTATGGTAGGAGAAATGTCTTTGGAGCTTACAGACCCAGGCTCCAATTCAATGAAATCTGATGTCACAACTTCATAGCTCTGTTTTCACATGCTCAATAGCTATACCGAGAATAAAGATACAATTCCTTTTCTTCCATATTCTCTTCAGAGTTTACACTTGGGTTCCTTTAAACTAATAAGAACCAGAGCTCCAGTCAATTACTGATGGTTCTAATTGCTATCCAGTGAATCTCCCTGTCCCTTATAATGATGGTAACACAAACAATCACTGTGGAATAAAGAAATCAAGGCAATTCCAGAACAGCAGAATTTCCTGATTCTGTGCCAGCAGTCACAGACCAGATGCATATTCATGAAATTGAACTCCTTTTGTGCTCAAGAAAGGGATGACATGGGAAATACGGCATGACATGTGTACATACATAACACCAGCAATACTTTTGGAGAATTCATACATAACAGAAGTGCATGGGTCTTTTGTGAAATTGGCTGCTTTTAATTAGGAAAATAATTAAATTTCTGACTTGAGTTAATAAAGTATCTGTCATTTATTTGATGTACCTGTAAAATTCTGATAGTGATGTTTTGCAAGTATGTTATGTTATTATCTGAAATACAGCAGCGGCACTAAAGTTGAAGACAACAGCCACCTTGACATTAACTAGTTATTGTCAGTATGGTTTCAAGGTCTGTTGGAAGAAACGCATAGTTTTCACAGAACCTTCTTCACTGATCATAATTTCCGTCAGAAAAGCATGCGTCAATACAATTGCCAAATACAACTGTTTAGGTTATGGTGCAAATGGACTTGTTTTGAATGCTTCCTCTATTAAAAAAAAAGCAAACAGTTTAGTCTATTCAGTGAAATACCAAAGACAATTTGAGCTCTATGGCCAACCCACCTCAAAGATGGAGTTAAGTTTTAATATAACTAGTTTTAATAGTTAAGCCAAAATAAAGTAGACTTAAACTGATAAATCACTCTATTTATTTGTCAAAACCTAACTGAACATAAGAAATAGAAGCAGTAGGCCTTTTAATCCTTTCAGCCGGTTCCATTTTCAATAAAATTACGGCTGATCTGATTGTGGCATCAATCCACTTTCCTGCCTGCCTCCCATAACTGTTGACTCCCTCATTAGTCAAGAATCTATCTTACTTTATGAGACTACTGAACTAAAAGTTCGAATGCTAGCTGTCAAACAATGCCGTGCAGACAGAAAATGAGAAGCTTGCAGATGATTTATAAAAATTGCATAATCATACAACTGATATTCTCATTCAAGTGGCAAAACAGCAAGATGCTTTGCAAGAGGAAAATGCCTCTTTGTACAGAAATGTTCAGAACTCTAAGGTCACAGTGAACATCTAGCTGAAGAAAGGTTAATGAGTGATCACCTCAACTTCTAAAAGAAACACTAGAGAGAGAGAGAGACAGACAGACAGACAGAGAGAACGAGTTTGTTCCTATGTTCAACTTTAAACTTGGCAAATCCAAATTGTGTCTCGATGAACTTAATAATCTGAGCTTGCTAACCTCAACTGACAAAACTCTTCAGTGGTTCCGTCACTTGCTGCCTCCAGCTGCCATCTTAACAGATCAATAAGTTTTGAATGGAGATAACACAGTGTGGAGCTGGAGGAGCACAGCAGGCCAGGTAGCATCAGAGGAGCAGGAAAGTTGATGTTTTGGGTCGGGACCGTTCTTCAGAAATGGTTTTGTATAATTAATAGTAACATGATCCACTTTGGACTCAGGGCTCTCTTTCCCTCTGGATAATGTTTTATTAGCTTCTTGATGTGTCATGATTCTTCTTGGTGTGCAGTTGTTGAGGATTGAAGATTTTCCCTAAACATGTCAAGCTCACATTTATATTCTGTGTGTCTGATTGCAAAATGTTGTTGTATATAATTGGCTTCTACTTCTGAAGCTGTGGTACTACCCTTGATTGAAGGTTCAGTTGTCTTGAATTTGTTTTGAAGATCTAAGACCTCTCAAGATTAATGAGATGTTTTTCTTCTGGTGATCACTGTGATTCCATAAGTGTTTAGTACTTTTCACCATTGCTTCAAGGCGCAAAGATACAGGAAGTATTGTGCTCAGCTGTGGACTTCACCATTTTAGTATGGCGGCTGGCTGACAGGATACAGTAAGGGCATTGACACAGTGGCAAGTAAAAAAGGATCAACGCTATCTTACTAAGAGGGGGCAACATGTTCCACAGAGTCATAGCTACCAAACCACCCAGGGAAATGTATCTAGGAATCTGTTGGACTAATGAACTGCTGTGACATCTGGTGATCTTTTTGCACACTGTAATCCACAACAGCAGCCTCAGTTGGCAACCCAGCAAATTAACTTTGTGTGTCAAAATCTCTAATGTTCATTTGGCTGAGTTGCAATGAAGGTTACATCATCAACCATCAAACACAATATCATAGCTAAACCCATTAATGTGTGAACAAAATGGGCCACCACTTTTATGCTGGAAAGAATGCGTTCCTTGCTCTGTACAAGATCTAGCATCATGTTAGTGCTCTGGATGCATCCATGCTCCTATTGATCTGGATATCAATAAGGAATTCTGATATTGAATACTGATATTGAAGTCTGCAGGCTTCTTAATGTACCATGCACGTCATTGCACACACCTATCTTCTTCTGGCTGCTCTTTCAAGATCCTCATTTCAATTTTGTTCAGCATTGGTGAGCTAGAACCTGCATTATTTTTGTCCCCTTCCATGGAACTTGATTGAGTTTTTTCAAGAAGTGACAAAGAGAATTGGTGAAGGTAGAATGGTAGATGTTGTCTGTTTTGACCTCAGCAAGGTGTTTGACAAGGTTCTACATTAAAGATTGGTTAGCAAGATTAGATCACATGGAATCCAGGGAGAGCTAGCCATTTGGATACAAAATTGGGTTGAAGGTAGGAGACTGAGGGTGGTGGTGGAGGGTTATTTTTCGAACAGAAGGCCTATGACCAGTGGTGTGCCACAAGGATCGGTGCTGGGTCCACTGCTTTTCGTCATTTATATAAATTATTTGAATGTGAATGTAGGACGAATAGTTAAGATTTTTTGCAGGTGACACTAAAATTGATGGTGCAGTGGACAGTGAAGAAGGTTATCTCAGAGTACAATTGGACTTTGATCAGATGGGCCGATGGGCCAAGGGGTAGCAGATGGAGTTTAATTTAGATAAGTGTGAGGTATGGCATTTTGGTAAGGCAAATCAGGGCAGGGCTTATTCTTTTAATGGTAGGGTCCTGGAGAGTGTTGCCAAACAAGGAGACCTTTGGGTGCAGGTTCATAGTTCCTTGAAGGTGGAGTCACAGACAGACGGTAGTGAAGAAGGCGTTTGGCACGCTTGCCTTTATTGGTCAGTGCATTGACTAAAGGAGTTGGGATATCTATTGCATCTGTACAGTGCATTGGTTAGGCTGCTTTTGGAATACTGTCTTCAGTTCTGGTCTGCCTGCTGTAGGGAAGATGTTGTTAAACTTGAAAGGTTTCATAAAATACTTGCAAGGTTTGGAGGGTTTGAGCTACAGGGATACGCTGAATAGGCTTGGGCTATTTTCCCTGGAGCATCGGACGCTGAGGGGTGAACTTATAGAGGTTTATAAAATCATGAAGGGCATGGATAGGGTGAACAGGTAAGGTCTTTTCCCTGGGTATGGGAGTCCAAAACAAGATGGCATAAGTTTAAGGTGAGAGCAGAAAAAATTAAAAGGGTCCTAAGGGGCAACGTTTTCACGTACAGGATGATGCTGCCAGAGGAAGTGGTGGAGCTTGGTACAATGAGAACTTTTAAAATGCATCTGGATGGGTACATGAATAGGAAGGGTTTAGAGGGATATGGGCCAAATGCTGGCAAATGGGGCGAGATTAATTTAGGGTATCTGGTCGGCATGGATGAGTTGGACTGAAGCATCTGTTTCCGTGCTGTACAAATCTATGACTGTATGGCTGTAGCGCATTCATTTCTAATGTCTCACCAGAGGCAGATACCATTTTATAGGCAGTTTTAATGTCTGAACCAGTGACTGTGTCTTCAGCATTACTCTCTATTTGTGTTCTTCCATTGCCTAGTGAGGTTGTAGTGCTTGGATATCTAAAAATGGAAAAGGTACAAAGTCAAAGTTGTGCTGCAGCCTTTTGTTCAGGGTTGCTGGGGTAAATGTTAGGGATGCATAATTATACAATCTGAGCCTTGTAACTTGGAAGAGATTTTGGGATGCACTAAAATAGGAGGTGAGAAGAAGATTTAGGTGTTAAGATACCATTATCTTTGATAGTTTCAGCTATACTACCAGCCGTGACCTCAGAAACAAGCATCCCAAAAGTGAGCAACACTCTTTTCCCTGGAACACAGGATACACAAATACACTCAACACATTTCCAATTAGTTGCTGCCTCTGTTTGTGAACCACAATGTTTTTCAAGAGAGACAGGTTTCTCAGATTTTCTTTTTAGTACAGTATGCAGGTGTTGCTGGCTTGGTCAACATTCATTGCCCATCCCAAATTTCCCAAGGAGAAGGTGCTGATGAGCTGCTGTCTTCATCTGCTGCAGTCTTTGTGGTGTAGTAACATCCACAGTGCTGGTAGGAAGGCAGTTCCAGGATTTATTACCCAATAAATGAAAGAACAACAATATATTTCCCAGTTAACATGATGTGTGGCTCAGTGAAATTTGTAGGTAGTGGTTTTTCTATGCATCTGCTGCCTTTGTCTTTCCAGATGATCGATATTATGGGCTTGGAAGGTGCTGTCTCAGGAGCCTCTGTGAGTTAGTGACTAACATGCAATTTATTTTGGACGTTACAAGATTGGGCCCCCGGGGTGAAGGGTGGTTTGTGCTTGTTGCGTACAGGAATCACTCAAATAAGCAGGCAGTACGAAATTGGCTTGGATTAGACTGAACAGACATGAATTGTTTGTGCATTATGATTCATGATCCACTTTTCCAGGACTATCTAACTTAATCCACATACCCGCCACAGTATCAGTGACAGGATATGTACTGTCTGAAGCAAGAAAGGATTTTCTGAGTAAAATGTTTTCTGAGCAAAGTGTTTTTAAGAAACAGGACTGAACTACAAGTGTGCAGTACAAGGCAAGCTGCTTCTGGCATTGCCTCTTCAGGAGGTACATTCATGGACCTCCACAGATTTGTACTTGAAGCTCAGTCCAACAGCTTAACTGAAGTCCTGAAGTCACCAGTTAACATTATGCCAGAATGCCAAAACTGGGTGATGTAATCCATTGATCTAATTCGAAATAAAGCAATCTCTGGCCTGTAAAATAGACCGTACACTAGCATTATTTTAAGGGTTAGACATTCGCTTTGCAGATAATGGGAGTTTGAGGAACTTACCTGACTGCAGAGTGTTTGTTTGTGCTACAGAGTGTTCATGGAAATGTGATGAAATCCCAGATTTGAGAAAGAATGTTGTTACTCCTCACGGGTTGACCTTTTCATAGAAAAGCTGCAACAGGTAGCTGGAACACCAATGCATTGCTTCTGCTCTTCAGCACAATATGGGATTGGAACAGTGGTTATGGAAAGGGCAAAATCTCCAACATACTTTCTACCAACTAGGGCCAGGCCCTTTCATACTCCTTAACAGTGATTAAAGTCTGCCTTATACTCAAGTATGTCAGTTCTGAGGATGGGTTACTCTGATTTCTCTCCACAGATGCTGCCAGATCTGCTGAGCTTTTCCAGCAATTTCTGTTTTTGTTCCCACAGAATCTCGGTGTTCATGCCTACTATCATTCTCCAGCATGTTGCTCCACTGAGTCCTTCACCTGAATCCTCTCCAACAGAAATTATCTGTAACTTTGCCCTCTGGTGAGCTGGCAAAGAAACATCATTCAACACAACCTGACTGCAGCCCACTCATACTACACCATGCGCTGATCCCAAATATATCAGTAGCCTTCAAAGTACATGCAGTGTCAGTTTCTGAACTGGTGCTGTGATTATTAAACATCCATTAACTGGGCTTCTTCATCAGTATTGTGCTGTGGTTCTCTATTCTTCCAGGGGCTGCCCTGGCTCAGAAAGCAACAGCTCTGAGGTTGCTGAAAGCAGAAAATCAGAACGGAAAGAGTCAGTGTAAAGAAAGTGGGTTGTTATGTGAAGTAAGACATCAATGGTCACATCATTAGCAGCTTGGTCATCACGCCATAAAGAAACATTAGGGTATGCTAGGAGTCCAGAAGTGGCAAAATGTAGGAGCAGAACATGATTCTCAATGTTCTGAGCACCATCAGATGTCATGGCCTCTATCACAACATGCACCATGGCGCTGAGAGCCGTTCCCTCAGTCCAGCTCAGGAGATGCAAGTTCCCAATGGTTCTTCCATTTTTATTCTTATAATTTGCAGAATGGATTATGCCAACTAACCTAAAGTACAACGTGATCATTTCTACATGCTGTTCATTGCCTTTTCTTGTAAAAACATGGACCTTCTTGCATCTATCAGCCCATTTTGTTTGTAGCAGTCTTCTGAAGTCATCAGCCATGACCACAACAATAACCAAATAAGAAATGACTTCTAGTCATGAGGCCTAACATAGTGGGTTATCACATGCTGGAAGTATCAGAATCAGAGTAAACCACATGATCAGAGTGAGGGAAACTTCACTGGAGTGAGACAGAGACAGATTAAGTAACTAGGAATTCAACTGGTAAATCTTTTAAAAGTCTAATTATACAATAAAAGTCAGAATCTAAAACAAATAGCCTTTAAAGATTTATTTTTATAAAGCCTAATAATAGCTGGAGGAAGCAAAAGTGATATCTATACTCACAGTGCAGCTCGGGAGCAAGTTCAAGGCTTTTTTGACCAGGGATAATAAAGGAATGGCAATATACTTCCAGGATAGGATGGTAAATGACAGGGAGAGGAATGTGCAGCTGTTGATATTCCTGTATACCTGCTGATTTTTGTTCTTCCAGTTCATGAGTTAACAGGTTTGTAAGGTTGTATTGAGGGAATTGTGACAGGTTGATCCATGGTATGTTGAAGGTGTTACACTTTGTTGCTGTTGTGAACCAGTAGTAGACCGAGTGAATGTTTAAAGTGATAAAGGGGTACTGATCAAGCTGGTTGCTCTGTCCTAGGTAGTAGTGAGCTACTTGAGTGCTGATGGAATTGCACATATCCACACAAGTAGAAAGTATTCCATCACACATTCATTCATGTGACTTGCCGATGAAGCCAACCTTCCATCCGTTGATTCCAGCTACTCTTCACAATCCCTCAAAAAGGCAGACAACACCATCAAAGACCCTTCCTGTCCCAGTTATAGTCTCTTTCAACCTCTTCTGTCAGGCAGAAGATACAAAACTTTAAACACATGTACCATAGGTTCAAAAGCAGCTCCTTCCCCACCATTATCAAACTTCTGAATGGACTTCTCTAATTTTAAATCTAATGTTGATATTGCTTTTTGAGCACCTTCTTTGCAGCCATAACTTTGCATTCCTTGCTTTGTTCTATCACACACTGATCTTTGTATGTTATGATCTGCCTGTACTGCACGCAAAACAAAACTTCTCACTGTACTTAGATACATGTGACAATAATGAACCAAATCTAATTAAATCAAATCAAATCAAATGATGAGCAAACTTTGAGGAGTCACCGTGTGAGATGGTTGCTGCAGAATTTGCTATCTATAACCTAGTCTTATAGCCACAGTATTTATATGATTCATCCAGTTAGGTTTCTGGTCAATGATGACCCATGTTAACAATGTTGATCTGTACATTTGGGATTACTGCCAGTACTGGCAAATCGTGATAAATATAAAATTTTACATTTTTTTAAAGACATGCAAGTGCAAAAGTATAATTTTTTACCTGAATTCCTCTTAGTGAAGATGCACCCATATACAGGAACACTCCATACAGTACCGGCATTGGAATGAACTAAAACGACAAAAAAAATGTACTTTGCCTTTAAAGAACAGTTGCAAGATTAATACCCATATCAACCTATACAAAAAATTGGAACTTAACTGTTAAACATCAATATAGATCAGGATTTCTATCTTACATACTTAATTTACATCCAGCAGACCATCCATTCCATCCACTGCTTTATATCCAGCAGATCACAAATGCATAATCATGCTTGGCCAAGCGCCAAAACATCTATAGGTATGCTGAAACAGATGAGACTGAGAGAAACACTGATTGATTGACAGCTTTGGCTCTCTGATCTATTCTTTCAATTGCACAATGTTTGTTTATACAACATAAATAGGCTTCACATACTTACAATTTCTGTTATTGATACTTTAAAAAGTCTGGATGATTTTAGTGGCCTGTAGTGAAAGTATTATTGAAGAAAGTTGTAAGATAAGAAAGTTTTTTTAAAATGTGTTTTTTTAAAAACACATACTATTATACCCAGGTGTTCATAGCTCTATGTATTGGTTGGATTGGCACTGAGGTGCCAAATTTTGACACGGAGGGTATGAGGGCCCTCGGATAGAAATGGAGTTTTGTGGGGATTGAGAGGTGAAGACCAGACAGTCTTCTTGTTTTTATTAAGACTGGGACAAAGAATGATCTTACAACTGCCACTTTGGTGGACTTTCTGAAGGCAACAAGCCTGACTCCTCTTAGCACCTGCCAAACCATCCCAACAATAATGCTGTATTTGCTGGTATTTTTGTGAATCCCACTCCCTACTTTGAAGATAGAATCCAGCCGCTGTGTCTGCTGCAGAAGCTGAATAAAAGGACCAGAGATAAAGCTAAGTGACTGGTATCATGGAACAGACACAAAATGGGAAGAAGGATTAGTGCCCATTTAGCTATTACTTGCCTGCATACATTGGACACTTTTTGGCGTCATGCAAAGAAAAATTTCTCATTACTTCTATCACCTCAACTCAACAATATTGAAGTCTCTGAATCAGCTCCAGGCAATGAAATTACAGCATTGTACTGTCCCAAGTGACAGATAAGCAAGCACAAACACTGTGAAATCGTGGTCTTATTAGCATGCACAAATCCCAAAGATGGTGCAGACTCAGTCCCCAGCAGAGGGCTATGCTCGGAATCGAGAGTAAACTTACAAGCACAACTGTTGGTCTAGCCATCTTCTTCCTGCTGTTTTAGAATTGTAGTCAATAAGATCTTCAGGTGGCACAAAACTGGCCACTTATCTGAGTGATCTTTTTAATTTTGCTGCCTGGATTTCTCAGAGTCTCCAGTTCGGGAGTAGTACAGGTAAAAGATCCAACTCAGCTTCTTGGAGTGCCACTGAATTTGGGTGGCTCAGACTTGAAGTCAAGAAATCAAAGTTTGCCAGCCAGGGCTACTTGTCTCATTAATATTTTACAGTAATTGCATATTATGAATAGAACCTGGAATTGTGAGCGAAATGAGATACCTCAGAATGTCGCCTACTGCATTGAAAGTAGCTGAACTAGCCGCATTGCACTTTGTAATGTTAAACGAAAGCTTTACTGAACATACTTTTACAAGTTTCATGAATAAAGCATATGCTGGGAGGTAAAAACATTTCAGTGCTCGGCCTACACTGATTGCAAAATTAGCTAGGCCCTGAAATCCAACCATCGTTCGCTATAGTATAAATGCATGATGCATTTTAGTACTGTATCGCCAAAGTAAGCAGGGTCATAGAAAAGCCACAGAAAAGTACAAACCAAGTAGGCTTTTAAGCAATTGTACATCAGGGAGTAATATCCTCAGACAGCCCATGTAGTCTTAATTTTATATCAATGTGGTGAACATTGCTAAAAGAATATTCATTAAACTAATAAAATGGCACAATTAATATAACCACTACTATTTATCTACAATATTTCAGCTTCTAACACATTTGTAGGAATATTTCAAAATGCTAGTAACAAGAATAGCATTACCAAAACATAATTGTCACTGAATAGAAAAACCATAACCTACTATTTGAAAGATTATCAAAGTTATTAGAAAATGTTAAATAGACTTCTAAATCGAAAAATCTGCACAATCAATACACTGCATGCATGTTCATTTAAAGTGTTATCAGTTTAAAAGCCAATCACTGGATGATTCTGTTACAATTCAAATATTTATTCATTTGAAATGCCAAGAACAACCATTACATATTGACATTACCTGTAGAACAGAGGTCATGAAGACAGATAACCCCATAAGGACAAATATCATAAGGCCAGTAACTCGTTGCTCGCGGATACCTAAGAATTTTGGCTGTTCACCAGGTGCCGAACATTCAGACTCCAATTTCAGGCTGTTGACATGTGATATGGAGAGCACAGTAGCAGCCACAAACCAGGGCAATCCCAAAACAGAGCAAACTCCAAGCATGACGGACACAATTATCAAATCCAAATGGTAACCACATCCTTTCTGTGAAACAATTAAATGTTAATAAAAATGTCAAATGCCTGTGTTTTAAAAATGATATATTTGATATTTTACCTTTGTTAAACCATTTGTTGGAATATGCCATTTTAGGATGGAATTAAATGGACAGTGTCTTTCTACAACTGCGAAAATAATAATAGCACTTGTTTTTAAAATTGCCTGTGTCAATCAGCTAGTACTATGATAAAAGCCATATTCTCTTTCTTGGCATTTAAATTTCAGAAAGGATTTCTGAAGAAGTCATATCACACTCAAAACATTGACTGTTTTTCTTTCCAAAGATGCTGCCAGTCATGCTGACTTTCTCCAGCATTTTCTGCTTTTATTTCCAATGTCCACTGTCTTCAGCATTTTGATTTTACTTAAATTCCAACATCGGGTAGGCAAAAGCATTCTATGATTTATTCAGTGTAACTTTGGAATAACTTCGAAGGGAAGAAAATTAATTAACTGTGAAATACTACCCGGTAACAATATATTTTTAAAAGCAGAAATCAACTGAAACAGAGAGTATGAAGGGAAGATGCCAAGAAGGAATGACAATATACTTTCAAATCAGGATGGTGTCTAGCAGGGGAAACCTGGTGGTGTTCCTACGTATTTAATGTCCATACTCTTCTAGGCGATAAAAGGTCATGATTTTGTAAGGTGCTGTCGAAGAAGCCTTGTTGAGTTGCTGCAGTGCACCTTGTAGATGGAATACACTGCTGCTCCTGTGCATTGGTGTTGGAAGGAGTGAATATTCTAGGTAGTGAATGAGTATCAAGTGGGCAGCTTTGTCTTGGATGGTATTATTGGAAGTGCAACCATCCAGATAAGCGGATGGTATTCCATCACAGTCCTGACTTGTGTCTTGTAGAAAATGTACAGGTGGTGAGTTGATTAATTTCATAGCCTCTGAACAGCTCTTGTGGCCACAGTATTGGTTATAGCCACAGTACCAGCCCAGTTTAAGTTCTGGTCAATGTTAGCCCCTAGTAATATGATAGTAGGAGATTCATTGATGATGATGCCATTGACTATAGAGGCGAAATGGTTTGATCCTGTCTTGTTTGAGATGCTTGTTGCTTAGCACTTGTGTGGTGAAAATGTTATTTGCCACATACCATTCTGAGCCTAGATGTTTTCCTGGATATGTTCCATATTGATATGGGCTGCTCTAGTATCTAAAGACTCGATGCATTCTGTATCTGCTTTGAAGTTCCTAATTCTTCTTCTCATTGGAATTGCTGACTCTCCTGCTGTAGTGGTCCTCTTACCATACACTGGAGTATTCTTTCTTGCTGAGGATTGCCACAAGGGTTTCTTCTGTAATGTTTTACAATCTTCAGCTCTGCCTTGCTGCTGACTGTGCTGTGTGAACCCTGGACTTAAACCTGTGTGTGATGATCTCACACAGTTGATCATCATTTAGTATTACCAGTTACGCCAAATTTGAACCACTGCCTACCATTTTGCATGGTCGTGCAATCTCACTACACTGTACGAGCTGCTGCTCATGATGAAGGCTGACGATCCTCTTTAATCTTAGCAAACTACAGGGCCTGCTTCGTCTTGTGTTTGGTTAGCTCAGTTGGCTGCATGGCTGGTTTGTGATGTCATGATGCCAACAGCATGGGCACAATTCCCGCACTGACTGAGGTTACTATAAAGGACTATTCTTCTCAACCTCTCCCCTCACCAGAGGCATGGTGACCCTCAGGTTAAATCATCACCAGTCATCTCTCTTCAATGAGACAGCATCCCTACAGTCCGATGACACTATGGTGACTGCACCTTATAGTTTGTAAAGGAAAACCATTTTCTGACCTAGCCAAGAAGAGTTCCTTGCAGTTATTGAAATATGGCTTATTGCATGTTAGCAATCAGCTACAATTTACACTGATTTGATATGGAGACTTTGAGGAGTACCAGATTTATGTCTCATTTCTTTAAGATCCCAAGCTGTCTGCTCACAAGTCCCATTCTATATGTCATCATAGTGGTTGGTGCGTACGGCACTCCTCATTATCAGCTCTTTCAGGCTCATATCCAAAATATTGCTCATTGATCCAGCGTTGGTCCTCCTACTTGACAGGAATGGTAGAGTTGAAATTATGCCAGCCATTAGGTTGCAGATTGTGGTTGAATACAATTCTGCTGCTAATGATCTACAGCATTTTATGGATGCCCAGTTTTGAGCTGTTAGATCTGTTCGAAATCCTTCCCATTCAGCATGGTAATAATACCACACAACACAATGGTAGGCATCTTCAATGTGAAGACCAATCCTCCTCTCTACAAGGACTGTGGGGTGGTCACACCTACCAATACTGTCATGGTTAAATGCATTACACCAAGTAGACTGGTGAGGACGAGGTCAAGTCGGTATATCCCTGTTATCGGTCCCCTCACCACTTGGGCAGACATAGTCTACCAGCCATGTCCTTTAGGACTCAGCCACTCTTGGTCATAGACATTGAACTCCTCTGCTCAGAGCATATTCTATGTCCTTTCCACCCTCAGTACGTCATAAAAGTGGTGCTCAACATAGAGGAGGGCGGTTTTCAGAAAGGCATTTCTTTGCCCATGTTTGATCTGATTTTCAGAGAACTTATGGGCTTTAGACTTAATGATTAGAAGTTCCATGCACTTCCTCCCAACTGTATCTAGCTCTGCTATCATCTCTGGTGGGTTTGTCCTGCCAGGGGAAGAAGACATCACCAGGCATGGTGGGGGTGCCAGAGATGTTGAGAATGCCTGGACATAGTCTGTGACAATGACTACATCAGCCTGTTGCTTGACTAATCTGTGGGACAGATCTCCAATCTCCCATAAATGATTAAGGAGAGCTTTGCAGGAATAACAGGGCTATGTTTGCCAATGTTGTTGCCACTGTCAATGACTGGTGTTCTATTCTGTTTTATTTGGTGATCAGGAATCTACCCAAATAAAGTAAAATTGAGGCAAGATGCTCATAACACTGCCTTGAAATAAAGCTGTAAATTTCATCAGCATTACACAAATAGCATGTGCAATTTTTTTACAGTGTAAAAAATTCATTTTTAATCAACTTACATATCTATTGTGTAAACTAATAACTTTGGATAAGTACATGAATAGGAAAGGTTTAGAGGATATGGGCCAGGAGCAGGCAGGTCAGTTTAGTTTAGTTTGGGATTATGTTCGGCATGGACTGGTTTGACCGAAGGATATATTTCCATCCTATATGACTCTATGACACCATCTTAAATTAAGTCAGTATAATGCAGGACATACCATATAAAAAAAAACACAAAGTAGATAAAGCATCTAAAATTCTTCTCATTAAAATTTGCTATTTATTCAACGATCAAATGTACACTCACCTTCAATTTGTGTTCCTTCCTGTTGACAATAACAGCAGTGATCTGTTGGTCCATGAAAATTAGTATAGTACAAAGGAGGGCTGGAATAAAAGCTGCAAGTATAGTCCACCATGGGTTTGGACCCAAAGGATTAATCAACCAACCACGGTCATCTCTGGTTGGCTGCAACAAGAAAAATCAAGTCACAACTAAAATATTTGTAAAGAAACATATTCCTGACACCATTTTACAGTTTATGGTATTTTACTTCTTTATTTAATTTTTTAGCTTAACTTTCAGTCATATAATAAAGCAAGTGATCTATGTGAAAAAATTTAGAATCTTGCACTTCATTTTGCACTAAGGGTACACTTGCAGGAAAACTTGATTTACTAATTATTTTTTAAGTTACAGGAAGTATTCTTAGTTCATTTAAAATGATCCTGTAGATGTCCACCAATTATCTACAATTAAAACATTAATTCCTGAAACTAACAGTTATATTCTAAAATATGACTTATGAACTAGATTTCCACAACACCTCCCACTCAGAAAAAAAAACATGCATCACCCTCATGATGCATTTTAAGTTGGTGGTATCAGGATGATGGTCCAATCAACATAGCTCATGGACATGGCTACTGTTCTCCTTGGACATTAGCAACAGTGACAATAGCACCATGGAAGCATCTTCAATGGGAAGAAAGCGGTTACTATTCAGATAGGACAAACACTAGTGTAGTTATGAGTCTCCAGTAGGGCATGCCTACTGTTAGGGGATAAATTCCAGTTGTTAATTACTGCTGGAAAATTAACACTCAATTGAATCCTAACTCAAACCTTCCATTCTAATGTTGACTCCAATCCATTGCTGAAACCCTAACTCAGCAATGTCTAGGTAATGCCAGGAAAATTGCAAGCCTATATTAAGATGGGCAGTGATTGGGCCTTATTTGGATATGTTGCCTTCTCACTAATTCAGAGCCAGCTGCTAATTCCAACCTCGGGTAATGTAACTTAACAGAGGGACAGATTGAGAAGCTGTCCTGACATAGTTTGTCAATACTTATTCTGCACCTCTGCCTCCAAGAGGCTGGGAAAATTCAACCCTGTTAGTCTAATGGTCATTTGCGTACTATAAATATTTCTGGTTTTTTTTTTTAAACACTTAATGTAAAATGCCATATCAAAGTAACTACGAAACTGAATTTGAAGTTACCTTGAAAACACTGGGGACTTGGAGCTTTGGTGATGGTATCCCAAGACCATAGTCAATTAAAACCATAGTTACAATACTGAGAAAGACAGCGAAATCACTAACAGTTGATCGTACCTATGACAATGAAATAAAATTTATCAGTCATATTTTATAAAGATGCAGATAAACGTGAAATTTTATTTACAGTGTATGCACAATTATGTAAGTAGAATGCAGGCTTTGAGCACCTCATACAGACTTGGGCATGATGCTTATATTGATTGCGGATAGGACAAAGTTAGAATACCAACATGCAGGAGGGAAAAACACAGCATGTTAGCAGAATTGTAGCGGGGTAAAGACAAAACTACAATTATTTGTTCAGTTCAGGGAATGGTAGCCTCACTTTGAGAGAACAGCAGATTTAAGAATACTGCTTTAAACTGAAATAAGGGCAATTATGAGGATATGAAGACAGAGGCAACTAAAGTGAACTGGGGAATTGGTTATAGGATAGGTTATAAGAAACACAGTGGCAGGCATTTTAGCAGACATTTCTGAATACTCAGGCAAACAATTCTAATAAGAAAAAAAGATTTAAAGTGAAGGATACACAATCTGTAGCTAACTAAAGCAAATAAAAGGGGGATCAAATTGAAAGAAGAAGTGTATAATTCTGTAAAGCTGAATGGCAAGTCAGAAGACTGGACAGAATATAGAGAACAGCAAAGAATGCCAAAATATTAATAAAGAATCAGAAACTAGATCACAACAGGAAGCTTGAGAGAAAAATGAAACCAGATAGTAAGAGATTCTACTGGTATTTTAAAAGAAAAAGAGTAAATAAAGTGAGCATTGATCCTCTAGAGAGTGAATGAATGATGGAAAATGAGGAAATAGCAGATGAAATGGATAGACATTTCACAAGTGTCTTCACTGTACAGGAAATCTGTACACTGTATCTGAGAAACAATTGTGAATCAGTAGGTGAAGTGGAGGAAGGAAACTGAGGTACTCATCAAATATACCAAATGCCAGACTGTTTCAGCGGAGTCTGTCACCAAGACCTTATCACTTAAAGATCCTTTCCGCACCCTGTAAAAATGATGTAATTGATGATGTTGTGTCAAGAATGTAGCTTTGCTTGAATCAAAGTACTAAGAAGGTATCAGAGTGTTATGGGCCAGACCAAACTCCCTCAAAATATATTAAGAAGATAGCCCAGACCCCAGCTTTTTACTTATTGTAAGGGCAAGTGTAAGATATGTGTTCCTGATGCAATTCAATTGGTCAAACTACTACGTTTGAAACAAAACACAATGTTATTCTTACACTCTAGTTAAAATACAAACAAAAGAAAGAAGAATTGGTATAATTCAACTCTACTGAAAAGCTTAACAGAATAATAGATAATTTAACTACTAAACAGGAACTGTTCGAATATAGTTACATCCCATAAACACACCCTTGGCAAAGGCAAATTCAATAAAATAGATTGTCTCACATGCAATCCTCCAGTCCGGGAGGAAGGAACATCAAGAGCAAACTCTGAGAGACAGAGAGAACTCAAGCAAATTGCTGTAGAAGGGAGAGATGTATAGCAGCTTCCAAACCCCAAAAACTACTCTTAAAGCCATGGTATCATACAGAGATAGCAGTATGGACTGAATGTAAAGAGTGGATGAAAATTTGTAGATGCATGTGTCTTAATATTTCTTTCTCTGCACTTTGGAATGTAATGCATTTGTAAATAGTGCTCTATTTTCTGTAAGGGTGGAGGATTTATGAGTGTTCACATTTAATTTTTTGAGGACTTGTGTTTTGACGGATTGCAGCAAACTGGATTTATACCTGGACTTTGTTTATTAAGGTCAGTGAAGGGACACATTGAAACTTTTATTTTTAAGACACTTTTGGGGAAATGTCATAACTTCAGGTAATTAATTAAATCACGGAATACTTACAGTGTGGCAATAGATCATTTGGCCCATTGAGTCTGCACTGACCTTCTGAAGACCATCTCACCCAGACCTAGTCCCTAACCCTATCCCCATAACCTGGCGTTTGCCATGGCTAATTCACCAAGCCTGCATATCCCTGGACACTACAAGGCAATTTAGCACAGCCAATTCACCTAAGCTTCACATCAATTGCTTCAGCTTGCTCTTTAGAAATCATCCACCTAGGTTTTATGGCTGCCTTGATAATAAATTGTGCTGGATGTCACTTGGGGAACAGTCTGCTCAGCAAAACGCTGTCCACCTCATCTTTCTGACTTTCCAAAACAACACTATTGTGAGTCCTGTATCAAATTGAATTGTTTTCTTGAATAGTGTCTGGAAGACTTCTCGATTCTGTGTTTCCTGAGCAAGCTGCAACTGCCAGTATCTGTTTATAAGACCTATCTATGTGTGCCATATTGACAGCCTTCTGTGCATTCTAACCTTCTTGCTTTTCCCTTCAAGATCTAACCATTACTGGTCAAAAGTGTTTTTTTCCTTCCCGCAAAGTAAACTCCTACAGAGAGAAATGTATTCTTTTTTTCTCTTTACCTTGTGTGCATATTTTGGGTTATCTAGAAGAGTGCACATTTTATTTGCATTACAATGTGTGTAATAACAGTTACACATCTCCACTGAATTGGTTTTGTCAAAGAAACCTGGTTGATGAATCTTTTCACTGTAAGTGTAATGTGGAGAAAGTATAAAATTGACTATATCAAGAACTGGGTAAAACAACTCAGTTTATGTTATGGCCCATGAAGCAGTGGGACTAGAAAAAGACAGTGCACTCGTCCCAGCTCAGTCATTTTTAAGTGGGAGGAAGATAGGTTCTTGACTAAGAAGGGGGTCAAAGGTTATGGTGCTGGTGGAGGCCAGGCAGTAGTGTAGAGTTCAGGCAACTATCAGATCAGCCATGATCTTATTGAATGGAGGAACAGTCTTAAGGGACTGAATGGCTAACTCCTCTCCTAATTTGTATGCTCGTCTTATGGGCTACACTGAACGAGAAATGACAGTGATGAGACACAGATCCATCAGATCTAAGTTCAAAATTATTTTTGTAGAAGCAGGAAGTAGAAGTGGCCGCTCAGATTCCACAGAGAATGATGGGAGCCAACACTGCCTCGAATGCCTTACTTTCCATGACTGGACTGCCCCCTCACCCACAGACCTATTTGGTATCCTTGTTGGCCACTCAACCCTTTGGATACTATGTATTTCACCAGCCCAGGATGTCCAAAATGATAAGGAGCTGGGCAGTGTTAATGAAGAAAAACTATTCCTTTGTTTATTGAGGATTTGCAAACCGGAGGACATAGAATTAAGGTGATTGACAAAAGGTGTCATGGAAAAACTCTAATGCTATGAATGGTTAGGATCTGGAACACACTGCTAGGGAAGAATGTGGAGATAGATTCATTTGTGTATTTCAAAACTAAATTGGGTAAGCATGCAAAGACAAAATTTTTGGAGGGTCAAGGAGAAAGAGCAGAGAGTGAGATAAATGGAATTGTTCATGTAGACAGCCAGGACAGAATCAATAGGCTCAATGGCCTCCCCATCGGTTGTAACCATTATATGATTCTAAGGTGATGAGGACTGGACCCAAAATTAGATTTCCAACTGGGAATATTGTACATCCAGACTGTGTATTTTGTCAGCCTTAGAGTTAAAAATCTACCCCAAGATTCCAACACCTACGTGAGTTGAAACAAAAGATACAAAATGTTGTAATAACATTTTGATATCAGGAATGAAAACATCTGCGATAAGAAGTAGATTCACGAATCCCTGGATTAAGAGAAAGATATTTTACAAATATACTTTACACTAACTTTAAATTACAAATGTGCTTTAGATCAAAATAAGGCTTTTGTTAAATTGTGTGCTGGAAGAAGTCAGCTGTGTAGAAAGCCTGTGGTCACTGTCAATGAACATGGAGGAGACCACATGGACTTGGCATACAGCTTGGAGTTCATCTGTTCCAGTGCTGGGGTGGTAGCCAATTCCAATGTGGACCCAAGTATCATGCAGTATCTGATGTCTGATGTCTCAGTCTTCATTACAGCACAAAAGAACCAACTAAACAGAAATTGCAGCAGAAGGGAAACACTGAAAGTACAGACTGGAGATGACAAGCTTAGACTGCTGTTATCATGCTTAGAGACATCAGTGTTCAAAGGAGCTTGTGCAGTGTCACAGCAGTCCATCAATCTGTCCTCTAACAGATGACCAGGAGTGATGGCATGGTGCCGACTGCACATGATACTGGGTGTTTGAGGGACAAACCCACTATCCCTTCCCAGGATGTCAGCATGTAGCTTCCAACCACCAGTCCAGATACTCCAATCAGGGTTGTAAATCTTATTTCCAAATCTGATCAGATTAAAACTTACCCACTTACATTTTGATGTCTTCTCTGCTGGAGATTCCTGGAAATAAAGCCTCTATTATGACTCCAGCAGGGAAGAGAACTGGCATAGAAACAGTGCTCCCTTTTGCAGCAATCAGTGTGCTATGTTCTGTGATTTAAAAGTCTAGCAGCATAGTCAACCAGTTTGATACTTCCTGTGAAAGGGTAAATATGGAAGTTAAGTATGGGGTCAGATGCCAGGCGTGTGAGGGGTAATAGAATGCCAGTTGGATGAGGTGCTAGAGTGCCATATAAGTGATTGACAGGTTCAGTTGCAAGGTGTAATTGAGGATATCAGATCTGACAGGTAGGAGGGAGATGGTTGGGTCAGGGAGAGTCAGACGGCGAGCAGGGAGGGTGATGGTGAGGTCTGAGGTGGTAGAGAGTTGTGAGGATCAGGATAGTTCAAGGTAGTCAGGCCAGCAGGAGGGTTGAGATATTGGGTTCTGGCAGGGTCAGGTTTTAAAGTAGTAGAATTAAGTCAGTCCAGAAGGTTGGGATGTCAGGACCTGACAGTATCAGGTAGACAGAACATAGAGTTTTGTTGGGGGTCCTGGGTGAAAGCAGCTGGATGAGATGTAGCTGAAGGATCAGTTTAATGATTATACTGGACTTAGACTAGGTTTTTAATCTAAGCTTCCCTGAGTTAATCTAACTATTGTGCTTAAGTGAGTTGGAACCATTCGAATTCTCTGACTTTAATTGACTCTTTCAAGGGGTTCCAGACGCAGGGGTTGCACACTGGAACAATCAGCTTCCTGGCCAATTCCCACAGAGGCAGCTATGTCCTGCATTCCTTATGGTCCCGACACATAACTTCTGTCTATACTGCTCCACCAACACTCAGGACATCAGAGTATCTGACTGTTTCTCCTTGATGCCTATTGTGTTTTTACCAGTCTGCCTGTGCCAGGACGGTGAAGTCTGAAGTCTGGTGTATATACCATGGACACAATTTTAGAGACAAGAATATACTCTCAGAATTGAGCAACAAGGTACTAATGACTGAGTTTGCAACCACAATCTTTTGTTGATTAATAAATAAAGACTGACCACAACTCATTTAATTTCCAAGACGCAACAGAAAACAAATTAATTTCATGGTGCGGGTAATAATATTTTTGCATCATTCAATTGTTCTATTTCTAAGCATCTCTTACTTTCGAATGATTGTTATTCTTCTGATAATGCAGTAGATGGCAGTGCTTTCTGTACTAACAAACATCTAAATGAAAGGCACTGAGCTCATGGAAAGTATTCATCAAATGTGAAATTAGTTGTTTGCAACCATACTGTCATAAATCACAAGCATTGTGCATTTTAGTACATATTTTCTCTGTGAAGGAAATGACTCAAAGATTTTCTACCTCACCGCTGCTTCCAAGCAAAAGAATATTGTCAAGCAATTTACACAAAGACAGTTTCCATACAAAACATTTTTTAAAAATCTACCTTGGTAGGAAAGTACCGGCTTGTCTTAAATTGCTTCAGGAAATGTGATAACGTACATGTGGAAAAGAACAGTATAATTGACCAGAATAAGACATCTGGAACATATGGACCATGGTGTCCACAAGCTGTGCCAAGAAACCTTCCATGAAATTTTATGCATTCCTAAAACAAAAATATGTACAGTCAGTAGTTTGAAATTTAAAGTGCAACAAAATGTTGTCAGTAAAATCTTTGATCTGGTTATATTGACAAATTTACAGTATCACAGCAAATATATTCTGAAATAACACAGAACAAATGAAGTACTTTAATTATTTTATCAATGTTTGTGATCAGAAAAAGATTTTGCACTTCCACGTTATGGTATATTTATCTTATTCACAACATGTGATTCTTACAACCACCTGAACATAAAGGCAGCAGAGACCAATGCAGAAAAACCTGAGTTAAGAGGCAAGACTCCAAGACCAAAAAAATTACAACCCCTTTAAGATGAAGGCAATGAACTGAAATTCTAATTTGTCTCTTCTTCTGCATTGCACATTGGTGAAAGATTTAAACACTGACGCCAAACAATGAAGCACTTTCAGTTCAAAGACGAACTTAACAGCTGTGTCATCATGGCTGCTGCAATAGCTAAGGAACCATTCAACATCATCACCAGGGATCAATCAGGTAGATGAAAAGAAGAATGAAGAGCAGTCTGAAAACAATTCTGGAGACAAGGAAGTGAAGACTTCCTACTACACTTAGGTACTCGTTGATGTAGGTAGTGGCATTACTTTGATACTGGCATCTGCTCAAGCTGTTCCTCTGCAGATGATAACATTTCAATTATTTCATCAGAAAGTAGCAGTGTACCATAGTCAACAATGGAATAAACTTCTTGCCAGGATACTTAGGTAGTTCCTATGCATAAGTAGGAGGTTCTAAGTTCATTATCTGCTAGCTGGTCTTAACTTAAGCTAAGTAGTTGAGGCTTCCTCATTGAAAGTTTTTGAAGCTAAGATAGGTAATTTTTTGAACGGTAAAGGAATTAAGGGTTATGGTGAGAGGGTGAGTAACTGGAGCTGAGGCCAGCAAAAGATCAGCCATGATCTTATTGAATGGTGGAGCAAACTCGAAGGACCAGATGGTCTACTCCTGCTCCTGGTTCTTATGTTCTTATGTTCTTATGTTTGGACTGACAATAAGGTGAAGTTTTACATTTGCATTTCAAATCGGATTTTTGTCTTCTCTAAAGTTGTGTGAATAATGAAGACTTGCTTTTCCAGGATCATCTTCTGTAAATATGAATTAAGATCACTGTTTTATCTCGCGAGACTTATTTCTCAGGTGCATGATCATTGATTGTTGATTATAGCTGATCTTTTTCCTCAGCTAATAGTTCACACTGACCTTTGAGCTCTCAAAATCTCAGTAAAAGAGAGACTGTATCATGTTCCTGACCTCAGAAATAAAATTTAGTATGCTGCATCCTGTTCCAATTTGGATGAGCACAAAAACAATGTCCTTGTACTTGCAGAAAAAGCAAATTACCTGTTAATTTACACATTTTCCTACATAAATTATATTTTGCAGAAACAGAAGTATCCAATGCTGCTTCTTCCTTCTGGTTTCACAAGATGTTCTCACACACCTCTATATTTGACAAAGGCAACTTTAGCTCAAACTTACAGACAGTGTCATATTTCCCCATGGAATTTCTGCTGCTGTGATATTGAGGCTATTCCAGTACTGCAAAGTTTTATTGTTCAAGTTTTGTGGTTCTACACAAATGCATCTGAAATAAATGTATATATTAACCAACAGCAAACGGTGAAAAAATGTTACAAGTCACACATTTCAAAACCGATATAACTATCTTCTTCATCTGTACAAGAGATGTCATCAGTAAGTAATCCACCCTTCAAGTGAGACTACCTGTTTAGCATTTTATTACTATTAATAGATACTAAAATTTCAGCAAAGATTGATGTTATAAGTGCTATATCATTATTTGAATAATATCTATTTAAGGTGCTTACCAATTTCTCCATGTAAAGATAATTAGATACATTTTTATTTAGCATTTCAGTATTTTATCATTTCTATTTTATTGATAATGGCTATCCTTTCACTCCCTCTGACACAAATCATGTTCAGTTTTTGCAAAATAAGTGGTGGTTCTGATGAAAGGTCATTGTCCTGAAATATTTATTCTGTTTCCTGTTTTACAGTTGTGGCTTAAGCTGTTCAGTGTTTGAAGTATTTTTGGTATTCAATTCAGATTTCCAATAATTTGCAGTATTTTTATTATGTTTCACTGACAGGTATCCTTTCATGAGATGTAAATGTTACACCTGGATCAGTAAAGGACTATCAATCTCATACCTTTAGGTGAATGTGTTATTCATCCATTCATAGAATCCCTACAGTGTGAAAACAGGCCATTCAGCCCATAGAGTCCACACTAACCCTCTGAAAAGCATCCCACCCAGAGCCACCCCCCTACCCTATATCTCCCAACTAGCACAATGCCAACCACAACTGAGCTTGACAGCTCTGACTCTCTCACCCGACCCGAAGACCCTGCCCCAAACCAGCATGCCATCAATCACAACAGAACGTGGTAGTCCGTACTTCCCTCCATCGCTGAGGTCGGGTCCCCAAGGAAAAGTTGGCCCACTTCCAGATGAACAAGGCAGAGGAGCCGCCAGACTCCATTTGGATGAGAGGTGCCGTCATCTTCCAGCCCTGGATGAAAACAGCAGCTCACTGGCATTGCCCAATGGCCATGAGTGTCTATCCACCTCAGGAACCATATGGCGCTGGCCATCAGCCCAGAGCGAGAAAGGAAGAAGGAAGGAGAAGGAAATGCCAGCCAGCCCAGCTGAGACTGACAACCCATTGGCCAGGAGGAGGCGGAAGAAAGGCCAGGGTCGCTGTGTCGCTGTCTCCCAAGAAGACAGATCCAGCAGGTGGCCAGTAACTCAAAAGCAAAAGCTTCTAGGTGCAGTGTCCGAAGCTCTTCTCTCCAAGGGTCCATGTCAGATGGTTCAGTAAGTAGAATACTTACACTTTCCTGAGTAATTTTAAGTTTGTCTTAATGCTTATTTTGTTTACCAATGCAGGAATTTATCCATTTATAGTATTCCTCAATTAAGGGCTGTCTTGTGGCACAGTGGTAGTGTACCTACCCCTGAGCTAGGAGATCTGGGTTCAAGCCCGACTTACTCTAGACATTTGTAATAACATCTTTGAACAGGTTGGTTAGGAAAAATAGGGTGCAGGTTTGTTTTAATTATTTTTCGGTTAATGAAGACTCTATGAAGCCTATGTCCAGTTTTAGCATTGATTCCTTTGGGATCACAACCACAACTTTATCCTCTTGTCTTTATGAGGTACACTTTTAAACATAAGCTGTTTTTACTGCAAAATAAAGGAGATACAAAATCAATTTCCAGGCTGTGCCCAATACATACTTTAGCCAGTCATTCAAAGGCTTCAGCAAATTGCCTACACAGGACATTCCCATCCAAATTTTCTTTCCCACTTTCATTTTCCTGAAATATAGCACTTGCAAATTTTCTGCATAGAAGTGCATCTGCTGTCTTTCAGCTGGTGTTGGATTGAGGCCCTTAAGCAACTATTAATTGACCACTTAATGGACCTTCCTAACAAAACTTAATTGATGAAACAGTAGGAAAATTGAAGTGTGCCTCGGATGTGTTTAAGCTGCCAATTAAGTGATGCTCATATCACATGCCCTGTCACATCTAGGGTAGAAAAAAATCCAACTCATACAGAGACTTTGTTGGGAATGTGTGGAGGCAAAGTCAAGGCACTTGGAAGAAGTGCACAAACCTCAAACAACCCCTCTGCCCAACCTTTTAAGTACACCCTCCCTCATACATGGCAGTGCCTGCAGCTCTTGCACTAAGGATTTGAATTGAATTGCAAGCCCAAGGGACTGAAGTAAAATATTCATTAAAATGTGATCTTCATAGAAATATTTCTTTTGGTCAGCATCCCATATCATTTATAGGATCTACTTTGATTAAGCTGAACTTCACTTGCCAGAAAGGTGACGTTTAGTAAATGGAAAGTAGAAACTGCAGATGCTGGAAATCTGAAACAAAAACAGCAAATGCTAGACATTCTCAGCAGATTTGGCAACATCTATTGAGAGAGAAACAGAGTTAATGTTTCAGGTGAGAAACATTTCATCAGAACTGGGAAACATTAGAAATGTAATAGATTTACAGCAACGAGCAGGTAACTGTCAGTTAGTTAAACTGCCTTTCCTTTGACGATGTTTGTTACTGCCTCGAAAGGTATTAACAATCAAAAAATGTAAATAGAGTGGGTTCACGCATAATAATAAATAAGCACAGTTAATTCCCATAGTTTAACAGCACAAATCGAAAAAAACAGACAGTATTTTTGTTAGGCTCGCTGTGAAAGTTTCATTTTCTGATTAGTTGTTAAAAAAATTTCACTAATTAAACAGCATTAATTTTGCTTACAAAAATCACATTTGCAAATTATGAATCAAGCTAAAACTAAGACAACTCTGAAAATCAAAATCTTAGATTAATTCTTTTGGCTGAAATTGTATTTTGTTTGTGAAAGGGTTCACACAACAAAATTTAAAAGTTCATTTCTTACAATGTAGAATATAACTGTATTGCATATTTTCAGTATAACACTGTGGAACTATATTTGAAGCATTAAGATGAATGATTCAGATACTTACGAATAGTGGGTCAACTGTTCCAAATGATTATACATATTGATAGGGTATGTCTCTCCAAGGTGATACAGCTTTTCTAATGCCTCATAGATGAATATTATGCAAATGAGGGAAGCAAATGCTTCCTCTGTGAAGCGGGTGATGTAACAGACCAATGAACTTGCATCTGTAGCAACAAGAACTAAGCAAAGAAAAGCTGTCCAAAGTCCAATACAGGTTCTCAGAGAAAGGTAGGATAAGCCATAATCTCTGTAATAAATAAAGCATCATATTAAGACATAAATCTGCAAAACAGATAATTTAACCACTAAAAATCTAAATATTATTTAAGATTCTCTGGATTATTCATCGTAAAATATTCAAAATAGTCTGTTATTTAGACATTTTCAGTCATATTTCTGAGACAACGTTGATACAAAATTACAAATATGACTACATACAGTAAATTACTACTGTCATATAGATCATGGAGAAGAGCTTTAATTGTTGAATAAAGCAACTATGTTATGCCTGAATGTAACAAGTTCAGTTAACCATTTAATTCAGATAAATGTTGGACATATAAATATTTCCTACTGTATTTTCAAAAGTAGCATTCCTGCAGTTTTATATTATGCTGAAACCTACACTGAATTAGAATTGACCAATATTACCAATTAAATCATGCTCTCCTTATTTAAAAACACAAATACTTGTTGTGAATTTTCATAACTCAATTCAGTTTCAACAAGTAATAGTCCAGAATTGGTAGAAGAATTGTCAAGTTAATGTTGAATTAATTTTCAGAACATTTCATGCACTGTTTCCTCAGTTTATACAACTGAAGAAGTGCTATCCTTTACAATAGTTATTGTTTACTTAAATTTTATTCTCGAGCACTAGCCACGCATACAGGCCTCATCATTAAAACTACAAAAAAGCAATCAACTACAATTTAACTGAAAAATGGGTAGTCAGCAGTTGAAAGCAATGGGAAAGACACTTCAGATGCCTATCCAGTCCAATGGTCCACATGCTGAACTTTTCAGCTGGACCTATGAATAAGAGAGCAGCACATATTCTTGCCTCAAGTGAAAATTTGCTTAGAAATGGAAATTGAGAAATTTCTAGGACCTCATTCAAAGTTTTCAGATACAAATAGCCAATGAGTGACTGAGCAAAAGATCTTTGAATGTGGCTACTCTACGGAAGATGCAGAAATAATCTGGACTCCACGATAAAACTGCAGTCTTATGCCAACTTATTCCTGTTGTCTTCCAAGATTGACCTCTTGTGCTGTATTTATTTTCTGCCCTCCCATAATTGATAAACTGCAATAAATTGACTATTTAATTTCTGGAGCACACTGGCTACATTTAAATAAGGCTTGACCGAAAAAAAATGGTTCAACAAATCCAATGGCAGCTCCATTAACCTTCAATACATCAAAATAACTGCAAACTAGAAACATGACAGGGTCATACAAGTTTAGGATGAAATGGGATTCTTGAGATAACGGGAGATGGAATTAAGGACCACATTACAGTAACATAGATCTCTACTGGAAATCGTGTAGAGTTTCTACCTCATGGGGAAGCAATGTACTCACTGCTGACATTATGCATTGCTAAAAGAGCTAGCAATCTCTTCACTGCAAATTTCACCACTATTTGCATGTGATCATATCACAACTGACTGCAGCATTTTTACTGGACATCTCTAGATTGGGGCTGCAGTGATGTCATTAGCTTGTCAAAGCAGCCAATCACATCAAAGCATTTTCACAGACAGCTAACCTTTACAGAAAATATAGTAAAATTTTATATTGTTAATTTTATACAGGGGAAATTAAAAATTGGGATGTACCCATGTGCTAAAGGCAGAAACTGAGGTATTCTGCAAAAAAAATTTAGTTTAAAAAATTTACTTGTTAATCATTCAAAAAATATAAAATTCCAGGAACATTTTTAATGTTGCACAAATTTTAACATCATATTTCCATTAAAGACTCCTTAATTTAGGAACACAGAAACAGAAGTAGGCCATTCAGCCCCTAAAACCTGTTCTATCGTTCACTGAGATCATTGTTGATCTGTGGTTTAACACCATATACCTGCCTATGGCCCAGATCCCTTAATACCTACACTCACAAAAATGTTTCAGATTTAAAATTAATATTTGTAGAAGTGAGTTCCAAACATCCACCATCCTTTATTTGTAGGAATGCTTCCTAACATCTCTCCTGAATGACCTGGTGCTAATTCTCAGACTATGCCCCCTAGATCTACAATTCCCAACCTATGAAAATACTTTATCTTTATCGACCCTATCTGTTATGTTAATATTTTGGAGAGTTTGATCAGATCACCCTTTAACCTTCTACATTCTAAATAAAACAGGCCTAATTTGTATAATCTCTCATCATTGCCTAATGCCTGAAGTTTAGGTATCACTTTTGTAAACCTATGTGTACTCCCTCGAAGTTCAATATATCCTGCCTAAGGTACTGTGCACAGGTCTGCTCACTGTACTCCAAGTAGGATCTAACCAGGAATAAAAACAGAAATTCCTGGAAAAACACAGGAAGTCTGGCAGCATCCGTGGAGACGAAACAGAGTTAATCTTTCAGGTCCAGTGGATCTGCTTCAGAACCAAGGTTTTGTATAACTGTGACATAACTTTTACATCGAGATACAAAGGTCAGCATTCCATTCACTTTCTTGATTATTTTCTGTACCTGTTCCTAACATTTTGAAGATCTACGCACCTGAACCTGCGAGTCTCTTTGTACAAATACTGTATTTAACTTCTCACTACCTAGAAAGTACCTTGATCTATCCTTTTTCAGTCCAAGTTGGATAACGTCACACTTGTTTACATTGAACTGCATCTGCTACAGTTTGGACCATTCACTTAGTCTATCAATATCCCTTTGAAATTTTATACTATCATTCTACACTGTCTACAATACTACCCAACTTTTCTCATCAGCAATTTTAGATATATGACTTTCTATGCTTTCGTTAATAAATAATATGAATAACTGGGGCACTAACATAGATCCTTGTGGGTCACCAGTGGTCACATCCCGCCAATTCAAGCACCCACACATTATCCCAACTTTCTGTTGCCTGCCACTCAACCCAATTCTGTCCGTTAGTAGTGTCAGTAATTTGGTCTAAAGTCCATGGGTTTCTACCCTAGTTAACAGTCTCTTGTGTGGGACTTTATCAAATGCCTTCTCAAATTCCATATAAAGAATGTCCAAAGTTATTACACACTGCCTTAGTAACTTCTTCAAAAATATTCAGTGAGGTTTTAGGCATGGCCAACTTGCTGTGAATATGCAGCAAGGACAATCAATTCCATTTGCATCTAGGATATTAATGTAAACCAAATGATGCTTTACTCAGGCAGAGAAAGAGTGCCTGGCTATTGTCTTTGCTTGTTTGGGACAGACAAACTGACACTGAAGTTTAACCTCAAACCACTCCTGTATACTCCAAAATGTTTGTAAGCAATGTTAGTTGTGTTTTTGCAGAGTTATCATCGGCACATGACATACAAACAAGACAAACAAATGTACGTTGCTGATATGTTATAGGGCTCAGTGTTCCCTATGAATAAATCTGAGGATATTAAGACAGAGTATGAAATCTTCCAGATTCAACAATAAACAACAACTTGACATGCTCTGGAAAGTATCAACCCAACATAAACACTGAATTTGAAAGAAAAGCATCTTGCTCAAATCAAGTAAACTACATAATTCTTCATGTGCCGCAGGATATAGTGATGAAAGAATGGCCTGAAGCACCAAGGTCAAAACCATTGGTATAAGAGGGTATTGGGCATACAGAAGTAAAAGCTCAAGATGGCATCTTGAAATAAAATAGAGTCATTACCTTAAGAAAAGGAAGAAAGAAATGCTGAAGCACATCCATATCAATGAATTGAGTATAGTCTGAGGAAGGCAAGAGAAGTGCTATAATGCTTAAGCATGAGCAATCAAGTTAAGGATCATATCTGCCAGGGCAGTACTTGTCACAAATACCAAGCTAAGCAAGCAAAAGAGCCACTTAAGATGCATGATATCTCAGGCAGAATACAGATTAAACTTAAAGTAGACCTCTTCACTCTCACAGGAACTGAATATCTTGTTACATCAATCATTATTCTGATTAAAGTTAAATCAGTTGACATCAACAACACTAGTGAGTTTGGAGAACACCTGAGAAGTATACCACAGCTGTTACAGCATTGCAAACATTATGCGGAATGACAATGGCCCTTAGTTCATGTGTAAAGAATTTAGCCATTTCATAAATGATTAGGAAATTCAACAACATACATCGTCTCCACAACATTCCCAGTCAAATGGAAAGTCAATCTTTAAATGGAGAAATATAACTACTGAAGCATGGAAAGTTTACCAGTTCATAGATTAATGTCATGCAACACCCAAAACTACACTTCCAATAGTAGAAAATATTACTGAAGCTGTAGTACTAACCGGTATGAATGACAAAATCAAGGTGAAAGCCAAATTTTACATTGATAAAACTGCCAAAACACTAAGCATGGGAAAGTCAGTCGTGTAGCCACTATCTTTATGTTAAATGCCTTTGTAAAAATATTTTGGCAACCATTATGTACACATCATGTGAAACAAAGATGATGTTCTCCTGGAAATTATATCTCTTCATGTTTCCATAAATGTTGTTAAATACCAGAGGTTAATCTACCTTTCTACCTAATCTACCTAAGGCATCTACCTTTCTAGTCAGAGCTTTATTCCAACTCACATGTTTATAATTCCAATACAACTGATTACTTGTTCCTCATTTATACACGCCCAGTCAAATTCTCACCCAATTACCATCAATTAATATATGAACATTACCCATTCCCTAGTTTATTTGGCCTCAGCCCCAAGAAAGAAAGTGTTTGGTTACAAACATAGGTCTAGAGACTCTTGGGACTAAAGTGGCCCATGTAGATCTTCTGTAGTGGGTGCTTCTACTGCAGGTATCCTGGAATAGCAGTGACACGTTAGTCAGATCTTCACACTATAGGGTCACATTCTGGCAGCCCATGGATCAACACTATATCTGAACAAATTTTTCACAATAGATTACAGAAAACAAAAGAGATCCCATGTCAGATCTTGGTCCAAAAAGTTATGTGCCATCACTTTCTCATCTGTTCCCAGACCCACATGTGCTACTGTCTGACTTGTTTATTGACTTGTTTTGGACTATTCAAGCTGAGATGTGGTTTCTGCAGAGATTGCCATATAATACATAATAAGATGTAAGAAGGATCTCCCTAATGTTTAACATAGGATAATAGTTGATGACTTTCTCTGCATCACTGCAAGATGCCAACAGAATAGGCTCGTTCACTCCAATGGTTCTTCTTCTCTTTCTTTTCTCTTCTTTTCTCGTTTATTTATTTTCTTTCAGTTTTCGTTTTTTTAGGGTTTTTTTTCTCCTAACTTACCTTCAGGATAGTGGCAGTGGCATCGGCGGTATCGGACCCATTGGATTTGGCAGTCAGGAAGATGCCCAAGGCGAGACAGCAGCTGGGGGCCAGAGTGAGTTCCCGATGTCCAGCCTGCGGACCAAAGGCGAGGTCGAGGCCTGGCACGGATAGCACCTCGGTCAGGGCTTTGGCGGTCTGGTGTGTGGCAACAGCTGGGGGCCTGAATTGAGACTTTGGTGCTCTGTGATCCCAGAAGTGAGCCGAGCGCAGCAATGGAGATTCCCCGACATCTACAAGAGCAATCTACTGTGATTGGATTGAACAGTCAGGGTGCTGAATGTTTGCAGCCTTGAACAGGGGCTGCAGAATTGCGAGATGTTAGCAACACTTAAAACTAGCCTGTCCTACTGCAACAAGTGCTGGAATCCTGTAGAATTCCTGAACTGCAAGATCCATGTTCATGGTGCAAAATGTTTGACAGCAGGCTCCAAATTTCTCTGAAATAACACTGGACATTACAGTGTGGGAGGAGAGATCCTATATCCACTGAGGATTAGGAATTGAGCAGATAAATTGTGCAAAGGCAGTGAGAATGATTGCAGCACAAGGATCAAAGTAATTTCCTTTTCTTAAAATTTTCTCAGGACTTTTTGAATTTCAAAGGCTATCTTTTGGTTTTCAGGAGCTTCTTTCGAATCTCAATATTTTGTTAGGTAATGTAGTCATGTAGTAACAACAAATTCTGGATTTGTGTCAATGTTATGTAGGGGTTCCTTCATTAGATAAGTATGGCTGCACGAATATCAAATTTGTACAGATATTACTTCATTATTAACACTTATATCTCAGAATTTGCTTTTTTTGGGTTTTTCTTTTGTTATTTTCTAACTATATTTCCCATACGCAGTTTTCACAATGAAAATTCTACCCACAAGGAACAAGGTGATCTGTTGGGAATGAGTCTCACGTCTGCAGCTCCTTTTAACAATCAACTGCAACTCTTCATGACAAATCTTGGCACACATTTCACCAAGTACTACAAGGCTCCTCCCATGTCATCTAGACAATACTCCTTAAGCACCGAATGGTCATCACACAGGCATTTTGTGTGGCAGCATGGCTAGTATATCGATGCTGACATGGTTTAAATAGGTTATAAATCACCACAAGTCATGAATTGGACTAAAACCTTTTTGCTCAACAGTATTCAGCACCACACAAAACAATGTTTTTATGTAATGACATCACTACAGCTGAGGAAGGACAATTACATGTACTAAGCTACTAGCATTACGTACTTTAATGACTTAACAGATGAAAAGATACATCACACATTACAATGGTTTGTTCAAAAATTAAGAATTTTGGGCAAAAAAGGTAATTTGAGAGACATTTCTCAATCTGTGTGGAAAATAAAACGGAGCTGTTGAAGTGCTTACTTGCAAAATTTAAACAGGATCTTTTCAAACACCAAGACTGGTCCTGTGCTTCCTAGGATCGTTAGTGGTTGCCCTGCAAACAGTGAATATGCTATGCCTGTCATAGATGCTCCAAACAGAGACTCAATTGCACTCTGAAAAAACAAAATAGTATGGATTAATACTGAAGAACACTGAAATACTGATAAGCATAAAGAAGAATAATGTTTTTTTAATTTTATTTATTTTCCCTCAGTAATTTTACACCATTTTACTGCAAATAGCAGTTTACCTATGTTTTTTCAGAACACACAACTCTGCTGTGAATAATTTCAGATTACAGTTGGAGCATTGAAACAGGAGAAGGTTCTTTAGTCCATTGAGCCTGCTCTGCCATTCAAATGAATCACAGGGGAAATCGTTCACCTCAACACCACTTTCCCACACGATCTCTATATCCCTCAAAATCATTAGTCTCAAGCTTCCAAACTCCTCTCTAGTTGGGATTTCCAGAGATTCACCACCTTCTGAGTAAAGAATTTTCCCCTCATCTCGGTCTTGAATGGCCCACCCTTATTCTGAGACAGGACCCCTGTGATTCTAAGCTCACCAGCCAGGAGAAATAATGCCTTCATATCCATCCTGTTGTGCCCTGAAAGAATTTAAATTTTGATGAGATCAACTCTCATTCTTCGAAACTCCACAGAACAGTGGCTCAATTTTCTCAATCTCTTCAAAATACAATCCTGCCATCCTTAGTGACCCCATGTTGCACACCTTCCATGATAAGGATATTCTTTCTGAGATAAGGAGGGCAAAACTGTACTCAATACTCCAGGTGCATCCTCACCAAGGCCCTATACAATTGCAGCAGGACATCTTTACTTTTATGTTCAAATCACCTTGCAATGAAGGCCAACATACCATTTGCCTCACTTGTTGATTGTTGTGCCAATATGCTACCTTGAAGTGACTCACGAACAAGGGTATCCAGGTCCCCTTGGGGACAACATCGCAACATCTCATCATGTATGAATACTCTAAATTTCTAGATTTTTTCCCAACAAAGTGGATAACTTCACATTTACTCGCGTGATATTTCCTTTACCACGTTCTTGCCCATGCAGTTAGCTTGTCCAAGTTTGATTGAAATCTCCTTGAATCTTCCTCACAACTTACAGTCCCACATAGTTTTGTGTCATTAGCAAACTTGGAAATAATGTATTCGAACCCCACATCCAAAATCATTTATATAGATTATGAGCAGCTGTGGATCTAGCGCTGTTTCTGGTGGAACCCCATTAGCCTTTTATTCTTAGTCTCTGCTTTCTGCCTGTGGACTAACTCTCAGCTCATAATAGTATATTACTCTCTAATTTTATTTAACAAATTCCTGTGTGGGACCTTATCATAAGGCTTTTGGAAAATCAAACTCTACACACACTGGTTCTGTTTATCTGCGCTACAAGTAACTTTCGCAAAAAAAACCCTAACAGGTTTGCTAAACAAGATTTCACTTGCATAAATCCATATTAACTCTGTCCTATTTTACTAACATTTTATTTATCATTAGCATTCAGTTAATGCCACCCATTATAACGGATTCTAACACTTTCTCTACCACTGATATTATTTACGAATAGGATGTGGCAGTGATGCCGAAACAAAATGGAACTAGGGAACAGGTGATAGTTAAATTTTAATTGAGGGTAACGGACTGAGAATTGGACTGGGCATATGTAGGTGGGGAACAAGAAACCAGTGGTATTGGAGTTGGTTGAGAGAGAGTTGGAATAAAACTCTCACTAGAAAAACACATGTTTATACTCTATCTAAGTAACACATAAAATCTTGTGTTTAACAACTGACATCAACATAACAGGTATGTCATTCTCTATTCTCCTTTGCGTCCCTTAAACATTGAAGTTACATTTCCAATGATGTTCAAATCTATATTAGATAACACAAACATAAACATTTATTATTGTGTGCATATAAATTCCATATAAATTGCAAAACACTGTAGGTTTTAAAGTATCTTTAAATGCAAAACAAATGTCATTTCGGCATGACCATTATGTCAAGATTTGTAGATATAGGAACACAAAGGAAGCTTTTTAAATCACATCCAAATGAAGGCTGAAACTTCTACTCCGAAAGAAAATTAGAACTATAACTGGAACTGAAAAATGTTATCTATTAAGAAAGTTTTGCATAGGCTAATATTGTTTTGAAGGGGTACTGAATTAAGGTGTGGAAATTATGAAGGATCTGGAAAGAATGAATGGAGATAACTTGTTTATTTCAGCAGAAATGAGAAAATACTTTTTTTCACTTGTGTAGGAGAAATTTCAATCTCATTGTCTGAAAGTGCAGTACAGACAGAAATTCTTGCCTCATTTAAAAAGTACTTGGATGTCTACTTGATGAGCCACGACCAGCTGTTCAAGGAGTATGTAAGAGTTCCAGTAGTGCCAACTTGTAGATGGTTACTGTGGTGAAGGCAGTAAGTGTTGAACATGGTGAATGTGGTGCTAATCAAGCAGGCTGCCTTATTCTGGAAGGTGTCAAGCTTCTTAAGTGTTCTCGGAGCTGCATCCATACGGGCAAGTGGAGAGTATTCCATCATACTCCTGATTTGTGCCTCGTAGACAGGCTTTGGGGAGACATGAGGTGAGTTACTTGTCACAAAATTCTAGCCTCTGACCTGGTCTTGTAGCCACAACATTTATATGGTTGGTCCAGTTCCATTCCTGGTCAAATTTTTTTCATTGCAAAAATATACTTTATTCATAAAAAAACTTTACTACATTCACAGGTACTAAAGCAGTTATGTACAGACTTTGCATATCAGTAAAAACAAACATTGGAATTTGATACTGCCCGCAGTTGGAAAAACCAAGGGCATTTCTTACTCATGCAGGACAGTATTTACACACATTGAGGCAAAGAAAGGGTCTGAGAACGGAACAGACCCTCATTGTACATTGGCAGAAAGACCTTAGATGATGGTCTTTCCCCACTGTACCTTGGCAGCAGCTGCCCCAAGCTTTGTGCCCTCTCCCCCCCACCCATGCATCCCTCAGCATGTAGCCCTGGAACTTGGAATGTGCCAATCTCTGGTCGAGGTCAACGCTTTACACTAGAGGGCCAACAAATTTCAGGCAGACCAAAGAACAAAGTTAATGGTCCTCCAAGCGCAATCGAAGTTTGTCTGGATGTGCATCCAGGGAACAGCCCTTAGAACACAGAGTCCTACGTCACAGAGCTGCTCAGGATGAACCTTGACAAAAATTTCTCCAGACCTTCTTTGTAAAGGTACACTCCAGAAAGTGATGTGTGGCAGTCTCTTCACCAGCTCAGCCGCTTCAAGGCTAGACCAATCCTTCACAACACCGGGGACAGGTAGAACCTCAGTTCTGTTTCTGGTCAATGGTTATCCCCAGGATATTGATGGTGGGAGATACAGTGATGCTAATGCCATCGGGCAATGGTTTGATTCTTTCCTTTTAGAGATGATGATTTCCTGGCACTTTGATGGTGCAACTATTACTAGCCACTGATCAATCCAAGCCTGGATGTCGACCAGGTCCTGCTACAATATATAATAAATATATTGCAATCATCGGTGAAGCTCCCCACTTATGACCTCATTGTGGAGGGAAGATTATTGATGAAGCTCTGAAGGTAGCTGTGGAAGGATACTACCATATGAAACTCCTGCGGTAATATTTTTAGACAGATGTTTGACCTCTGACAACCATAATCATTTTCCATTGGGTTAAAATGAGTTTTCGCCATGATTCCTTTTGACTTCAGTATCGATAATGACCCTTTATGCAATACTTGGTCAAATGCTGCATCAGTATCAAGGGTAGTTATGCTCACCTCACATCTAGAGTCGAGCTCTTTTGTCCATTTTTGGACCAAGCCTGTAAAGGAGATTAGGAGCTCAGTGACTGTGGCAGAACCCAAACTGAACATCAGTGCACAGCTTATTCCTTTGTTGCTTGATTACATTGTCTATGAGCCTTTCCATTATTTTGATGATGATCAAGAGAAAACTGACAAAGTAATAATTAATTGGGCTGAATTTGTCCTGTTTTTGGGAACCGGATAAACCTGGACAATTTTCCACATTGTCATGTAGATGTCAGTGTTGCAATTGTACTGGAACAGTTTAGCTTGAGACACAGCATGTTCTGGAAGACATTGCTTTTTCAGAATTCAACAAATTAACTTGCTTGTTATCACATGCCATGGACTGATTTAGTTGAAGATATGCATCAGTGCAGTGGGGACCTCAGAAGATGCAGAGAAGGATCATCCACTTGGCACTTCTCATTATAGCTGGATGCAAATGCTTTGGCCTTATCTTTTGCATTGACTAGATATAACAGGACTGCAGAGCTTAGGTCTGATAACTGGTTGTGGTATCACTTAGCCCTATCTATCGTATTCCACTTTTATATTTGGCATGCAAGTAGTCCTGTTTTGTAGCTTCACCAAGTTAATACATTTTTAGGTATGTCTTATGAGCAATTAGCATATCTAGAAGATTAATTGAATATTGGAATTACTTCATCTTTATATATCTTTGGGAATTTGAAAATTGCATATTGTAATGGAATCAATGGTTTCAAAACTCATATTTTATCAAAACAGACCTTAACTGAAAACGGAAGCTGAAAGAAATCTGACCTTTCCAGTTTCTAAGGAAACCAAAACTTCTGGGCAGATTGAAACTGAGATTGGAATACAAAATTCCTGGTTAAAACAATAGACTCCTATTTGTATATTTTGATCCCAGGTATGATAAAAGCAGGCTGAAGGCAAAAGGTTAGATCCAGAAGCTGAGAATAAGCAGAGATATGGTTGCTGCAGCTGTTCCTGTTACTTGAAGATAATGTAGTTGGATCTACACCATTCAGGCCATTGCAAGTAAAGTTGAGGTTTTGCAGACGTGTGTCAATTTAGGAGAACAGCATGCTTATGGAAATTGGGTTGATTGTCTGTGACTGTCAGCTGGAGTTCAGGAACATATCCTGGAAGAGGAGGATCTGAAATTCTCTGTAAGGAAGTCAGAGTTTTGAAGGACTTTGTACAAGATGGATGACATATATTCTGTGCAAATAGCTGAACGAAAATGTAAGATTTATCTTAGTTTTATCTGCCATTTAATGTGTAAATTTTGCAAAGTTTGTAATTGACTACAATTTGCCTCTAAATTCATGTTTAATTTGTGTTAATTCTGGGTTTTAAAGTAAAGCTAGCTAGCTATGATTGTATTTAATGCTTGCTTTGTTTGGTTCCTGTATCATACAAATCTTTCTGTGTTAAACCATGGAATCTTGTGGTTGCATGCTTTTAGCAAATAACTCGGATTTTGGGTTTCATTCTCAACCGAGATCGTAACAATAGATACTAATGGTTGATGTTAAATTATGAAATTGATTTAAGCAATTAACCATGCAATTTGATACAGCATTCTCGAAAAATTTATATTTGTGCAAAATCTTGTAGAAGTTTATATCACCTCACCATTGTTGGACAAAAACAGAGCAACTGTTTAAATTTTAATGGAACACAAATATTTTTTCTCTGAATAATAAAAATAATCAAATAGATTCTCAACACTGAAATATACTTTCTAGAAGAAAAGTTAGTAATCTTACTATGCAACCTTCTGTAGCTTCTCCCAGTAAACCACCGAATGTGATAACAGGAGACATACAGGCACAGTACAGGAACAGGAAGGATGCTACACATTGTAAGTTGATTGCATCTCTAAAATCACTCCAGAAATATGGAATTTTTCTTTTGATGTCTTCACATAATCCACCAAATATCCTGGTTTTGGAAAAATCAAAAGAAAATTCAGTACAAAATGCATGGTTTGAATTAATATAACATACAAATTATTAATTTACATGGGATATTTTTACTAATCTATTAATATGAAGCTTTATGGCCAACTGATAAATAGAAAGTGCTGGCAATCCCCTAAAGAGTCTTATTGAACTCAAAATGTTGACTCTGCTTTTCGCTCCACAGATAGTGCTAGACTACCTCAATTTTTTGAGCACATTCTGTTTTTTTCATTTCAGACCTTCAACATCTACAGTATCTCACTTTTGTTGAAAATATTCGACAGGTCTGACAGCATTTGTGGAGACAGAAGCAGAGTTAACAATTCAATTTGGTTATGAGTTCTTCAGAAGAGTCTCTGTCTCCACAGATACCACTAGATCAGCATTACCTGCATTTATTCCAAAGTCAGAAGTCACATGACACCAGGTTATAGTCTAACAGGTTTATTTGAAATCACGAGCTTTCAGACCGCTGCTCCTTCGTCAGGTGAAGTCAACCTGTTGGACTATAACCTGGTATCGTGTGACTCCTGACTTTGTCCACCCCAGTCCAATGCCTGCACCTCCACATCATCGTATTTATTCCAGGCATTGCTTCTATTTTTGTGGTGGATACAAAATATTTTTGATCTGTGGCTCAAGGTTTAATTTACAGCTTCTAAATCTCAGCCAGATGTTAGTACCCTCCATCAGAAGGATATCATTTAACCAAGGGTCCCATTCTTCATTATGATTAAATGCCATTGAACATTTTCTAATCAACCTGCTCACCAATGTTACCTACACCTCTGGAGCAAATGGGACATGAACATGAGCCTCCTGGCCCAGAGGTAGGGACACTACTACTGCCCACAAGAACATTTGATGTGATGCAAATTGATGTCGATGAGCTCAGCTATTGCTCCTTATACAATTGAATGGTAAACAAAATGGCCACTTGGGGAAGGCACAGAAAGGTGCCCTGTACCTATCACAAGAAGAAATCATTTTGAGGAAAGAGAAGGGAAAAAAACAGATGGAAAGGTGAAAAGAAAATGATCTTTTGATAAATTACAAATACAAGGTGTCCATTTTAACACTTTTATCTTCCTTTCTGTCGATTCCACATTTAATCAGGCTGATGTGCCTTTTTCTCAAATTAAATTCTGCTTCAATAGGACATGACTTTGGTACAGCCACAAACCACTGAATTTGTGCAAAAGTGAATTAATTTGCATGTTACTTTGTGTAAAACCCTTCTATCACTTTCATTGCTTTGTGCTGTGCAATGCCCAAGCTGTTTTTAATCTGTATGTATAAATCACATAGAGACCCCTTGGATATCCTGCCAAGTGAAATTCAACAATTGCCCCAGAAACTTAAACTTCCAATGAATAATAAACCACAAGTGAGAACCCTGTGAAAGAAGTTCCCAACTCTGAGTTCAAGTCAGAGGCTTCAGAAGTTTTTGATTTACTTACCTTAATAGTTACCAATCATAATAGTTAACCAGAACAGGGATGAAACCTGTTCTAATTCCTGATTAACAATATCACTGACACCAAATCACTCACACATACAACCGCTCCCCCAACCCAATACCAAGACTCCCCAATACATGAGACACCCTTTATCAACTCCCCAACTCCCATATATCCAATCCTATTCCCCTGGACAACCGACTGCACCCTTCATTGTCACCTGCCTAACCTACACCCTCATCCACCTGCCATCCTATCCCTTCACCCAATGGCCTGCCATCTTAGTCTCATCTGAGCACCTGCCACTACAATCCTTCATGTACCTTCCATCTACCATTTCATTCTCCCATTTCCATCACAATCCTCACCCCTTTAACTATCATCATATCCCTACACAGAAGATGCTCTAACCTTTCAAGAACATGCCACCCAATCCCCCCATCCACTTACCTGGTCCCTTGCCCAATTGGCTCCCTAAAACGTACCAGCTTACCTATTACCCTACACCTTACCTACTTGCCACCCTATCCCTTCAGCCACATACCAGACATCTTGTCACCAATCTGGCACTGTATACCCTTAGCTACCTAATACCCAACCCTCTTACCCATCTGGCACTCTACTCCTCACCCACATATGTGCCACTCTACACCTTTACACACCTCTTACCCCATCCACCCACCTACCATCCTACCTCATCACCCAATGATCTTACACATTTACCTTTGCGCAGAAGTTTGTCAAAAAAGACTAGGAGATCTTTAAAGTGTGTTTATTTTCTGGAATACAACAGCTAGGGCCCTAAAATGAGGGATAACTTCTGGAAAGATTCACGCAAATACTGTCTACGTGGTTTCCTGGATTGCATCTATTGAAAAAGACCCTACATCGGAAAGTTGAGTCCAAAAAATTGTACCAAGGTAAAAGTAGCTTCAGGATGATCTGGTTCAGAAAGAGAGATTCTGGTCCAGCTTGGAAGATTTGGGCTTATATATTTATATACATAAAATCTTGTTACTGACTTTTAGTGTCAGTGGATTATTGGACCTTTACAACTTCCATCCTATGAATTGGCTCACTGCAGTCTTGACCTGAAAGTTGTTTAAGTATGACACCACTACAGTCATGTGTTGGATTTCAGCCAATCTTTCAGAACTGTGATAATGAAATTGCTATGCCATTACACAGGATCGTATATCATGTTATAGAAAAGAAGTGTTATTGCTCATTTTTTCCTTAGTTAAAATTTTTCTAAGGAAAATTTTTGTAGAGTTGTGAAAACTGGAGATTGCTAATGTAAGTTTAATATTTTCTGGAATATAAAGGAAAGTAATGGCCTGAGAATTTCAAATCATAATGGGATAGCACAGCATTAAGTTTAGTTGTCTTAGAATGAATGCTTCTATCACCAACCTTCCTGTTCTCTGTAGCTCAGGTCCACTGTGCATTTCAAATGGGTCAGAATCCCCATGAGCTGTGGTTCCATTTGGAATCCCTGGAATTTTTCTTTTCTCCTGCATAAGTTACAAATGATAACAGCAGGAAAACACAGAATTTCAAAATTCAAAGGTAAAACTTGTAATCAAAAACGCTTGTAAAATTATATCAAATGGGTACATTTTTGTGCAAGCAATTTTTACACAAGCATCAACCCAATTACTAAAACTAGTGTGTGCACAGAAATGCAGCAATCGATATTTTACATTCATCTAATAGAAGCTGCACTCTCAAATCTACCAATTTAGGGTTGTGGTTGATGCTCTAATTGTATAATAGCCACTTAAAACAGACAACCATACAATCCAAAAATACAATTGGGAAGACACGCTACTAAGTGAAAGCCATTTCTGATTGCAACTCACACTGTCCAGCAGAAGGAAATTCTGTGGATGTGTGTGCAGTCGTCCATTTCCCCAGTTACTCATAGGAGAATGGAAGTAAGAACATCTGCATTGTTACATAGAAAGACAAATAGAATGTTGTTCATTCAGCACATCATGTCCATGCTGATCAAAAAACGACCCAGCCTAATCTTCCACTCCTGCAAGTTAATGCATTTCAAATGTATATCAAAGTGCTTTTTTTTTAGAATGGAATAGAATCCTTAGTGTGAAAACAGGTCTTCGGCCCAACAAGTCCACACCAACCCTCAGAGTATCCCACCCAGGCCCATCCCCCTATAACCCACCTAATCTGCATATCCCTGAACACTATGGGCAATTTAGCATGGCCAATCCACCTAGCCTGCACATCTTTAGATTGTGGGATGAAACCGGAGCACCCAGAGGAAACCCACACAGACACAGGGAGAATGTGCAAACTCCACACAGCCAGTCACCCAAGGGTGGAATCGAACTTGGGTTCCTGGCACTGTAAGGCAGTGGTACTAATCACTGAGCCACCGTGCCACCCCAAGAATCATACCCCTAGACCAACGTGCCATTATTATAAAGATAATAATGGTTTCTGCTTCTATCACCCTTACAAGAAATGAGTTTCAGATTCCCACCATCTTCTGAGGGAATGCTTTCTCAGCTAGTCCCATAACCACACACCCAATACTTCTATCAATTACAACTTTAAACCCATGTTCCTTCCTTGTAACAATAAAGGGACTTAATTCTTAATTTAAAATGTGTTGTAGAGTCATAACAGATACATCTAAATAGCTTTACAGGAAACATAATCTACTCAGCGCAAAGTCTAATTAGATTCTTGGATTGATATTGGCTAATTGTAATGTAATCATAAGTTACATCTTGACTCTCGTCATAGCTATTGGTGCATTGGTGCACATAGAAAACTACTGAACTGCTACTTCAAAGCTCTTACGAGTTTGGAGATAATTTGGTTGTTAGTTATTTCATTTTAGGACATGCCCAATGGTTTCCTAATCAGCTCAGAGCAAATTCCAAAACTTTAATCAAACTGCGAAAACTCATTGTAAATATTAGAGAAAACTTGAATAGGGTCTCCATTTATTGCTCCTAATGTCAATGCAGTAACTTCTGTTCATCTGCCCTCATTTTAAGTAACATGTATATCCTAACATATGCATGTTTGATTTACTTATACATTTATTAAATAATGCAATAATCTTCACAACAATGGAATTATAGAAAAATTATGAATGCACAATTTAAACGTGCATGCAGCTAGTCATACTGATGGGTTAATCGTAAAGATAAGATTAAGTAAGTCAGAAACTCAGAGATTCAGTCTGTGTTAAGATGATCTTTCAGCCTCATTAAAGCTAGAGAGGAAGAGAATGCAGTTAAAATTTCCACTCTTAATCATCATCTGCTGGCCCAGAGTGTGCATGGACTGTCTGAGAATTACATGCACGAGTTCTTCAATACCACATCTCAGTTGTCATTAGCCTCTTATGAGTTTACGTACTGAGTGTTAGTATTATGGAGGCTTCCTAGTGAAAAGCTGATGTGGTCCTCACAAAATGTCCACTTGGAAGAAGTTATTCCTGGTATCCTACATAATACTTAAAGCCCAAAGTATCACATTGCAGACTGTGGGAATTTGCTGAGTACATATTGGCTTCCATCTTTCCTGCTTTACACAGTAACTATCCTTCAAAATACTTCATTGGCTGGAAAGCATGTTGCAATGTCTGGTGGACTGGGAAATTTTATAATTTTTTCCTTTTGGTCTGAAGAATGCTCTTATAAAACTTATTCAGCAGCTTATTTATATTACATTATAAATGGCTGTTCTTTATATAGATCATGGAAATTTTAGAATTTCTAAAATAAACAGCAATTACTTGAGAAAAATCTAAAATCAGAACAGCCTATGTCATCAACAATTATACAGTACACTTAATTAGCTCACTAATTCCCACTAAATGAAAGGGGGAAACCTGATAAATATCTGGTGATGACATACCAGCTGTACCTTTGAAGTACCAAGTTAAGTTTGGATATTTTGAATATAAAATTCCACTTGTTATGTTTTAAAAATAAATTCTGCATTTCATGTTCAAATATCTAGGAGAAACAAGAAGCCAGAAATCCTTTCACAACACATCATGAGAAAAGAGTTTTCAAGCTTTCAGAAAATCATCCTGATACAACACACATTCATTGTTCAGACTCACGCTTTCAAGAAAGTGTTTTTGGAAAATATCAAACCAAACTCAATATATTTGTTTCGTATGTCATAACTATTTCAGCAAACAATGCACACCCTTATTAATGAGAAAATCATCCAGAATTTAGAAATTATGAAATGGGCATCTTCAGAATTTGCTGGTAAATTTATGCCTCTCTGCCAACCAGCATACAGCCTATAAACTCCATTTTTTATTTATTCATGGGATGTGAATGTTGCAGACATGGCTAGAATTAATTGGCCATCCATTATTGCCATTGAGGTGGTGGTTAATGGCTTTCCTGAACTGCTCCAGTCCACTTGGTGTAGGGACACCCTCAATGCTGGTAGAGAGGCAGTTCCAGAATTTTGACCAGGACATTGACAGAACTACGATATAGTCATGAAGATTAATGGCTGGAAAGGCAGCTTGCAGGAGGCAATGTTTACAAGTACCTGCTGCCTTTGAGGTAGCAGCTGTCTGCAGTGATTTTCTGCAGTGCATCTTGTAGATAGTACATACTGCTATTGAACATCGGTGGTAGAGGAGGAAGTGAATGTTTGTGCACGTGGTGCCAATCTAGCAGGCTATTTTGTCTTAGATGGTGTCAAGCATCTTGAGTGTTGTTGCAGCTGCACTCATCCAGTGAGTAGGGAGTTTTCCATCACACTCCCGACATGTATCTTGTAGATGGTGGACAGGCTTTGGGGTGAGTTATCAGATGTGCTCTTGTAGCTGCTGTATTTATATGGCTTGTCCAGTTCAGCTTCTGATCTCTGGTAACCATGAGAATGTTAATAGTGAAATTTTCAGTGATTTTATTAAATGTCAAGGGACAATGGTTAGATTCTTGGTTGGTGGAGATGTCATTGCCTGGCATTTGTGTGCCACTTTTCAAACCTGGTCCGGATCTTAAACAAAAGCAGAAGTTGCTGGAAAAACTCAGCAGGTCTGACAGCATCTGTGAAGAGAAATCAGAGTTAATGTTTCAGGTCCGGTGACCCTTCCTCAGAACTGATGGTAGCTCGGAAAATGTCAGTTTCTATGCAGATGGGTTGGGGTGGGTGGGTGGTAGGGGGTAAGGAGTAAATGATATGTAGGGGTAGAACCCAAACAGAGAGAAGAGTTGGACAGACAAAGCAGTAGATAAAAATCTGGCTACGAGGGTGAATAGCTATTAATGGAGACTGTTAGTGGCTAACAATAGGTGGTGTGTAATGGCAGACTATGTGATAACATGGCCTGGTATGTGGGGTAGAGGGTTAGGACATGGGAGAGTTCAGGCCCTAAAATTATTGAATTCAATATTGAGTCTGGAGGGTTGCAGGGTCCCCAAACAGAAAATGAGCTGTTGTTCTTCCAGCTTGCACAGAGCTTCACTGGAACACTGCAGCAAGCCTAAGATGGAGATGTTGGCCAGGGAACAGGGTGGTGTATTAAAGTGGTAGGCAACTGGAAGCTCAGGGTCTTTTGTGTGGAGAGAACATAGAAGTGATCACCCAGTCTATGCTTTGTTTCCCCAGTGTAGAGTAGACCACATTGTGAGAAGGTATGTTTGGGCCCTTAGATACTGAGGAGGGAGGAGGTAAATGGGCAGGTGTTACACCTTCAGCAGTTACAGGGGCAGGTTCCGTGGAGCTGTTGGAGTTGGGTGGGGCGGGTATGGGAGTGAAGGAAGAGTGAACCAGGGTGACCCAAAGGAATGGTCCCTGTGGAAGGCGGACAAGGGATGGGAGATGAGTATGTGTCTAGTAGTGGCAACTCGCTGGAGGTGGTGGAAATGGCAGCGGATGATCTTTTGGATGTGGATGCTGGTGGGATGGTAGGTTAGGATAAGGGGAACTCTATCGCTGTTGCAGGAGGGAAGAAAGAGGGTCACAGCGGAAGTGTGAGAGATGGGTTGGACCTGGTTAAGGAACCTGCCGACAAAGGTGCTGGGAAATCCTTGGATGAGGAAGAAAGTGAACATTTTCGAGGCTCCCTTGTTGAAGTTGGCCTCATCGGAACATTTGCGATGGAAACGGAGGAACTGAGAGAATGGAATGGAGATTTAACAAGAAGCAGGGCGCAAGCATGTATAGTCCAGGTAGCTGTGGAAGTCAATGGGTTTATAGTGGATATTAGTGGCCAGTCTATCCCCAGAAATAGAAACGGAGATGTTGAGGAAGGGAGGAAGGAGTCAGAGATAGGCCAAGTGAAAATGAGGGCAGGGTGGAAATTGAAAGTGAAATCAATGAACTTTTCCAATTCCAGAAGAGAGAGAGGGAAGCAGCACCAATGATATCATTGATATATTGGAGAAAGAGTTGTAGGTAGGGGCCCAGAGTAGGTCTGGAACAAGGCATGTTCCACATACTCACGAAGACACAGAACCTGGTCCAGATCTTTCTGAATTCGGATTGTTTCAGT